CAAGGTCAAATAAAACATTTCATACTTACACAGAAGCAATGTAGATATTTTACAGACAATTTATATAAAGATTTAACTTCAACAGTTGATTAGAAACTGACTTGATTACAAAGTTAAAATTAATCACTCAACCATGCAAATGAGGTCATAGGTAACCAAGTGACCATTGTAAGACAGCATGTACAATCATTTACAATGATTCAAAGGTTAAAAAAACAGGTGACCTATTACTTATAATCTAACCATCAGAACATTATAGAAGTTGATCATACTAGAAGAAATTTTGACATTGAATAATAATGAGGTCAAGGTCAGGTGAACCCTTATAATACCTATTTAGATCACCAATTGAGAAAAATTAACAGATTTTATTAGGTCATTGAACCATGAAATGAGGTCAAGAATTCCTATATATGTCACACAGATACTTTCAGCCTATAAGGCCTGAGCATCTGTTATAAATAAGCTGTGTAAACTCAACAGACCTGTCTAGTTAAAAGTATATAAGGTAATGTACAGCTTAACTTTATAGAAACATAAGAAAATGTAAAGATATTGTGGACTGTTCTACAATAAGTCATCAATATTTTTTTCCTTATCTACACTCTCTACTTTTTTCTATATAATTACTGTAAATTTGTCTAAATTTTCAACTGGAGGACCCTCTCAGATTTATTCCTCATGATAAATCTTACACATGAGCACTTCTCTTCAAATTAAGTACTACAAATTATTTAAATTGCATTTGGTGAAAATTTACCTTTAAAATTCTGTGCCAAGTAACAAGTCCTAAATAGACATTCACGATCTACTTCAGCGTCAAATGAAAATTGATTACACAAATCACCTACAAGTACTTACAACGACAAAAATGAAAAATTGAAGGATCATAAATTTGTGTTTAAGATGCATTTGTTAAAAATCAATTTATCGTAAATCACATTTAAATTAGTTTATACTTAAGAGTTCTTGGTTCTGAACTAATCCTGGGTTTACACAAAGATAGAGATGGATTATTGCACAAATGAATTTATAATTGGCATTTTATTGAATCATTAATCTTATAATCTATCTAAATTAAATGTACATTTGTTTTATAAAAGTTTTTTTTTAGCATTAACCTCTTTTAATTTAATGTTTATGTATTTATAGAACAAGTGTTTAGACCAAAATAACAGAAAATTTCCTTATAAGATTAACTCTTTAAACTCAGGCACTTCTTGTCAAATTAATTTTTTTTTCAATATAGGAAAATATTTCACAAGATCGATTGATTATATAATTATCATAATAGAAATAAAAGCATGGATAATGATATTGATTTATTTCGCATTTTTGCAATTATTTGCTAAGGTGGTTGTAATACAGGTGCAATGGATCATCTTATGTTATTTTTAAGGGTAAAATAAATAGACTATTATCTCTAGTCTGAATATAATTAGCACATCAGCAAAATGTCAAATTTTTAAAGTTGTTGAAATTATAGACATTGCATCTGTGATCTCAAAGTGATTCCTTCTTAGAAGGTAGACTGGATGTTAACCAACCAACAACCAATCAATCAATCTTAGACAGTAGACTGGATGTTAACCAACCAACAACCAATCAATCAATCTTAGATGGTAGACTGGATGTTAACCAACCAACAACCAATCAATCAATCAATCTTAGACGGTAGACTGAATGCTAACCAACCAACAACCAATCAATTAATCTTAGAAGGTAGACTGGATGTTAACCAACCAACAACCAATCAATTAATCTTAGAAGGTAAACTGGATGTTAACCAACCAACAACCAATCAATTAATCTTAGACGGTAGACTGGATGTTAACCAACCAACAATTAATCAATCAATCTAAGAAGGTAGACTGGATGATAACCAACCAACAACCAATCAATTAATCTTAGAAGGTAGACTGAATGTTAACCAACCAGACTGGATGTTAACCAACCAACAACCAATCAATCAATCTTAGACAGTAGCCTGGATGTTAACCAACCAACAACCAATCAATCAATCTTAGAAGGTAGACTGCATGTTAACCAACCAACAACCAATCAATCAATCAATCTTAGACAGTAGACTGGATGTTAACCAACCAACAACCAATCAATTAATCTTAGAAGGTAAACTGGATGTTAACCAACCAACAACCAATCAATTAATCTTAGACTGTAGACTGGATGTTAACCAAACAACAACCAATCAATTAATCTTAGAAGGTAGACTGGATGTTAACCAACCAACAGTAAATCAATCAATTTAAGAAGGTAGACTGGATGTTAACCAACCAACAACCAATCAATTAATCTTAGACAGTAGACTGAATGTTAACCAACCAACAACCAATCAATTAATCTTAGAAGGTAGACTGGATGTTAACCAACCAACAATCAATCAATTAATCAATCTTAGATGGTAGGCTGGATGTTAACTAACCAACAATCAATCAATCAATCTTAGAAACTAGACTGGATGTTAACCAATCAATCAATCTTAAACAGTAGACTGGATGTTAACCAACCAACAACCAATCAATCAATCTTAGAAGGTAGACTGGATGTTAACCAACCAACAACTAATCAATCAATCTAAGACAGTAGACTGGATGTTAACCAACCAACAATCAATCAATCAATCAATCTTAGACGGTAGACTGGATGTTAACCAACCAACAATCAATCAATCAATCAATCTTAGAAGGTAGACTGAATGTTAACCAACCAACAACCAATCAATTAATCTTAGAAGGTAGACTGGATGTTAACCAACCAACAACCAATCAATCAATCTTAGATGGTAGACTGGGTGTTAACCAACCAACAACCAATCAATCAATCTTAGATGGTAGACTGGGTGTTAACCAACCAACAACCAATCAGTCAATCTAAGACACTAGAATCACAATGTATGTAATAATTAATACAAGCAATAAATAAGATATACTTGGATTGTTCAAGACTAACAATGATTTCAATGAATAAAACCTTAGTGACCTATCTATTTTAACCCCTGCCTCAATTTAAAAACACATTCCTCCAAAAAAATTTATTAACCGTCAGTGGAACCCTGTGTCTCGCCTGCCATTCCATCTGCAACATAATAAGGCAGGTTTGACAAAAATAGAGCCTACCAGAAGCTGTTATCGATTCATAATATTGATAATGTTTACTCACAGCTTCCATAAGGTCATGGCACTTGAAAAAATAATTGAAAAGAGGGGATAAACCACAAAAAGGAAGAACTTTCAAATAAAAGAAACCTGGAAAACAAACTAATGACACAAAGACCCCTTGGTTATGAGTGCTCACAATCAGAAAACTTTAACATTTGATCAATCAAATGATTCATTACTGACTTTGCACAATTAACGAATTGATATCTCATATTCTCTTTTAAGTAAAATAGGGGTAGCTAATCAAACTGCATTTTAAATATCTATGCTCTACTTATTGTACTTCTTCATAAACATTCCTATAACTAGACATTAGAGCGATTTACACTGAAGCACTAATTATGGCATTTCAGAGTCTTTAATATTCTCTTTAAAAAACAGTTGCACAAAGATTGGACAATGATGTCAACATATGGAAAAGTAAAGCCTATGTTTTGATAAATCTTAAGATTGATTGATTGATTGGTGTTTATGCCACTTTCAGCACTGTTGGCTATTTCGTGGCAACCAGTTTTTATTGGTGGAGAAAGCTGGAGTGGCTAAAAACCACTGGCCTTTGGTAGGAAAACTGAAAATTCTAGTAAATCAAGATTGGAGTAAAACACACCTGTCACATGTGTGACTCGAACTCACAACCTCAGTGTTGACAGGGTTGAGGCTAGTGATAAGACTACTTAGACCACTCTGCCCCTAAGGCCCCCTTTTGTACCTGATATCATATCTTAATGTGCAATTTGTTACAGTAAATTCAGAAATTATTGCGATGTATCTATTATTGCAAAAAATGCGACAGGGTTATAATCGCAATAATTTAAACTCGCATTTTGAAATTTTTTTTATATGAATTAAACAGGATTTTTCTCAATATCGCAAAAATTAAAATCGCATTTTAGTCTAAAATGTCAAAATCGCAATAATAAATGCATGCAATAATTTCTGAAATTACAGTAGTTTGTGTGACGAAACAACATATAAACAAATTAAAACAAATCAGTGTGAACTTTGTTAGTACACTCTGGTAAAGTCATTGACTAGAACGTCAATGACTTTAGAATTGTGAGGTTCATTTCACTTCAAACAGAGAATGTGAATAATCCTGTGAAGAAAATAGGTCAGGTTAAGTCGATGCAGGAAGGAGGGTTGTCATAAATTGTATATACCCCATAACTTCTCTAAACCCTTCAATCCTGGTAATGAAAAAGGCAGATTTAAGTTACAAATCATTTTATACTGATATAAAACTGCAGCACATTAAACTATCAATCATATTGACTGTATAACCCTATATACTTAATACTCAGAATTCATAACAAACTTTTTTTTTTCATGGGACAAGAAAAAATTCACAGTTACTTTTTTTCTCCAATCACATTAAATAATTTTCTCAAGACTTCAAGAACTCATGATTAAAGAAGAATCCCTTGATTGAAAATTGACTTACCTGGTAATGACCTTGGACCCTTGGTTACCATGAAAACCTAGTTCATAGGTACTAAGGTAAACTTTGACCTACCTGGTAACAACCTAAGAACATTGGCTGCAATGGGATTATATTCCATAGTGACACATGTATGTTTTTATGGTGCCACTGGCATTACTAAAGTAACTGTTGCTTACCTAGTAACAAAATTGTAGCACTGGTTGCCAAGGGAACATATCCCATAAATGTTTGCCCTGTGGTTATGACTTTGGAGAGTTGGTTTTCATGGCAACATATTTAACAGGTATTATAGAAAACTTTGACCTACCTGGTAATGACCTTGGAGCATTTGGTTTTCAGGAGAACATATCAAAACGGTATCATAGAAAACTTTGACCTACCTGGCAATGACCTTGGAGCATTGGCTACAATGGGAACATATTCCATAGGTACAGGTGTGTTTGTATTTGTGGTGCCACTGGCAGACATAACTCTTGAATTAAAAGTCTTTAGGAAATTCTGAAAATAAATTATACTGTTTAAATATATGCTTTATTTTTCATTCAATTTTCTTTTACTACTATAACATGATAGAAAATTTCTATTACTGATCATCAAGGTCAAAGTAGTAACATTTTCAATCAGGTATACAAGCCTATAAATCATTCTATTATAGGATTTAGAATATTTTTGGGAGTTAAAATTTCTAATGGCAATTTTGAAGACTCTTGGTCATAATTCATAAAGAGGACCACAGAAGTTTATTCACTTAAGTAATGTTAAAAAAATGGCATTAACTGGATTTTTTCTTACATTTTTTCAATTAATAGTGCTATGTATATAAACATATAAATGTAATTTCACAACACACTTTAAATACAAATACAGAGTCGAAGCTCCAGCAACTTTTACAACTAACATAACCTAATTATTAACAAATTCCTTTGAGCTTATATTTTTTTCTTTTCCAAAAAGTATTGTGCTAATTTTAATGTTTCAATATTTTTATATGCATAGTAAGAAAACAAATTTTGACCTAGCAGTATAATTCATAAGCACACTTCTGATAACGGATGCTCTGGGGAACATTAACCATTTTAGTCAAAGCAGGCTAGGAAATAGTAACACATCCTATCATACTAACTTTAGGGGATTACACACACCAAGATGACTGCTTGGTGAGCAATAATCAAATGTTGATTCAAACTGAGTTTGGTCCAATCTGACTCAGTGATTTCACAAGAGAAAAATTTGTTACAATCATATTCAGTGAAAATAATTTCAATAATTTTTCTAAGGGGTTCTAAATTATGATCTGAGATTATGGTTTTATTGTATCTTTAACTACTGCTTAATCACTCACCTCATCTAAGTACAGCGAATTAAATGATCCAGACCTAAATTAATGAACAAAAATATGAATAATTAAATATATTTGTAAGTCTATGCAGATAAAATTCTTCATATTTGAATCATACATTAAATTTATTCATTTTAAAACCATTTGGTAAACATTTCTGGACAATTTTGGCAAGTTTATTAAAAATCTCAAATTTGATCTTAGACCCTTTCTCCTTTTGCATTTTTTATGTTATATCTAACATCACCCTTTATCTAAACTGCACAGGAAATTTTAAAATAATAACCACTTCAAATCTCAATCTTTCACTGATATTGAAATAAACCAATACTCGATCAATGAATGCAATAAAGATTCAAAATCGTTATAGTGTATACAGAATTCAATTTTTAGAGTCATCATGACTAGATTATATAAGTGGAACTGATTGTGTTGCTCATCTGGTGAAAAACAATGATTAAAACAAAGAAGAAATTGAATCTGGAATAATTTTGAATTCTGGAAAAATTTATAAAAAATATATGATGAAAACTAACCCAATTTAAGAGGGTTAGCAAGGCGTGTAAGGGTATTAGTTAGTTCATACTGAAATATCAGTGAAAGTAGAATTTACCTTAGCCATGCGTGCATGGCTAACCCTCTTTAGTTGGGTTAGTTTTCATCATACATTTCTATTTTCAATATCAATTTTCCAGAATTCAAAATTATTCCAGATTCAAATAATTCCTTGTTTTAAAGGATACATGGGTATGCATTGGAAATTAGAATCCATTCAAAGATCTAACCTTTATTTAGATAGTAAGATTGAAATAGGGCATATATTTATGGCTTGCTAAATCAACATCAGTATAACAGTGGAACATAGTTCTTCTCTCTTGTTAGATAGATAGATAGATGCTCTTTATCAGGTTTGTTCTACGTATTTTTATTAACAATACTTAGAGCATGAATAAAGGAGATGTGGGACATAACTTCAATAAGACAGCAATCCAACAGCACAAATAACATGACGACATCTAGCAGTGAATATACAGTATTCCACCATAGATGAGTGTCTATACAGTATGTAATTATTTATTTATATTACTTACTTCAATATAGATATATCCATCATTACAGTTAAGCTTTTAGAACTAGACTATGTGTATAATTCAAAGGAACTGAATGTAAGTCCCCTTTTGTTTGTGTCATTTTAAAATTCAAATTTCTTCATTATTATTATGCATTGCATTTAACCAAATACAATAAAATATGTAATGTGTGTCAGTATTCTAAAATTCAATGAAATAAGTAAAATATATGGAAATATATGTAAATCTATAAAATATGTGGTGATTATTCAATTAAGTTGTTTATACTCTTACCAAAAAGTTTTAAGAACAGAAATGTTGGTACTTAATTTTGACTGTTCCCTTTTCTCAATTATATAACAATACTACAAGATTAACTGCACATAACCATTATATATTTTAACCAAATACTGTCTTTCAGAAACTTTCTTTTAATAAACATTAAGCAGCTGTGCCAAGAGACCATGATACATCACTTTTGTGCATAATGAAATTGCAGCCAGAATAAAGGGAATATTTAGAAGTCATCTTTTTATAAGTTAGTGATATGGCTCTGTAGAAAAATTTGAAAGGATATCCTTTGGTGTATGAATTTTACCTTCAATATGACTGTTAGAAAGTCCCATAACTCTTGAATGACAAACCAGATTTTTTTTTTATTCAAAAGCAAAAGTTTGTATTAATTTGAAACAAACATACTAGATAGTGTGAGACATGTAAAAAGAAAATGCCTTAAATCTGATGGTTAAAGTCTGGAATAATAATAAAAATCTAAACAATTGTTTTCAGTAAATGATTTTATAAGAGGTCATTTTTTGTCAGTCACTACATATACAAGGCCAAAATAAAAATATTGTATGTTTGCCCAAACGCGACCGACCCAAAAAAAAACAGCCGACTCGAATTCTTTTTTTGCCGTTTTTTTGAAGAATTTTTTTTTTTCTGATTGTTTTCGTGCCCGCTCCGTCATCGTATAAACTTAATGTTCGTCGTCTTTGCGTTTGAAAGTAACTGTGAATAAGAGTAAAAGAAAGCGTGTAAGAGACGCAGTTAATCGATATTCGATGTTCTCGGTTTTTATCTTCTGATTTAACGATTTTAGTCGATTCCGGTTATTTGCATAGCCTTTTTGTCAGACAAAATTATGCAATTAAGCGGAGTATGCTTATATCCGAAATGCCAAATTACGGAGTCAAATAACATCGACAGTAAAGGAAATCCCTGAAGAAAGATGAACGGCCATAAACCACTTACAGCATGTTGAATGTTATTTTATTCTAATAAAAGTTATAAGTCTAGTGTTATTCATGTTATTGTATTTTGTATTCTTTTAATTAAGTTTATAAACACATTTTGTTTTAGTTTATTTGCGTACCGACGTTTCCTTCACCTGGGATACAAAATTAGAACAAATTGTTCTAAAAATAGATTTGTTTCTATGACCCGTATGTGGGTTACACTAATGTCCTGACCAATGTCCTGACTAATGTCCTGACCAATATGCAAAATGCTAATAACTTTTTTGTTCTTTGAAGAATCGACTTCAAATTTGATGTCAAGGAAGATTATAACATTAAATATATAAATATTAGAAAAAATATTTAAAAAAATAATCTAAAGAGTTAGAAAACTTGACCTGACCAGCGTCGACCCTGCCTTGACTAATGTCCTGACCGATGTAAAAATGCTAATAACTTTTTTGTTCTTTGAAGGATCGACTTCAAATTTGATGTCAAGGAAGATTACAATATAACATATATAAATATAAGAAAAGATATGAAAACAAATAATTTAAAGAGTTAGAAAACTTGACCTGACCATGTCGACCCTGCCCTGACTAATGTCCTGACCTCCTGAGCGATGTAAAAATGCTAATAACTTTTTTATTCTTCGAAGGATCCACTTCGATTACAATATAACATATATAAATATAAGAAAAGATATAAAAAAAAATAATTTAAAGAGTTAGAAAATTATTTTTTTTTTATATTTTTTCTTTTATTCGTATATATTTAATGTTATAATCTTCCTTGACATCAAATTTAAAGTTGATCCTTCGAAGAACAAAATAGTTATTAGCATTTTTACATCTGTCAGGACATCAGTCAGGGCAGAGTCGACTTTGGTCAGGTCAAGTTTTACAACACTTTAAATTTTTTTTTTTTATATTTTTTCTTATATTTATATATGTTACATTATAATCTTCCTTGACATCAAATTTGAAGTCGATCCTTCAAAGAACAAAAAGTTATTTATCATTTTTCATATTGGTCAGGACATTAGTGTAACCCCCCGTATGTACAATGTACATCATTACGCTTTGATTAAAATAAACTGTTCAACTATACTACACAGTTTATTATCATTTTTAACAATAAATGTGTAATGAACTGCCTTTGATATGCAGTATTTACCGCTTGCACAGTGATGTAACACTGTTTCTTTAACCTCGTTAGTTTCGTATATGCAAAGCAGTAAAGGGGCCCTGTACGGGTTATTTGCTGGACACGAGTTTTGAAAACGTGTGAAAATATAATAATTAGAAGTGAATGCTCCAAAAATAATAAAAATAAAAGATTGACAAATAAAATTCTTTAACCATATATAAATGCCCTGTAATGTTTAACATAAATGCAAATCACCCCAAGCCGAATTGCAAGAGTACACATTGGATGGTCTTTCAAAGTAAACAAGAAATGATTGTAACAGGATGCTGTTACGAAGTCTCCCAAACAAAGCTCCCATAATTCGTAATTCCCAGGGTCGCCCGACATTGGGCAAAGTCCAGTGAAAATTGGTTTGGTCCAGTAAAGTTATATACATTAGTGATGCCTGGGGACTAACCCTGTATATTATTCAAATCATCTTGGCATGACAAACCAGAATATATATGGTTTAGGGGTTGGGATCTCGACCATTTACAAGATACTAGTACATTGGGGGTTGGGGGAACCCCTGGGGACTGACCCTATACGTCATTCAAATGTTTGAGACATGACGAACAGGAATATATACGGTTTATGGATGGGGATCTCGACCATTTACAAGATATTAGAACATTGGGGGTGGGGGAACCCCTGGGGACTGACCGTGTACGTCATTCAAATGTTCGAGACATGACGAACAGGAATATATATGGTTTATGGGTGGGGATCTCGACCATTTACAAGATATTAGAATTTTCTCAAATGGCAGGGGGTCGGGATGACCCCTGGGGACTAACCCTGTATATCATTCAAACCATCTTATCATGAAAAACCAGAATATATATGGTTTAGGGGTGGGAATCTCGACCATTTACAAGATATTAGAACTTTCTCAAATGGTAGGGGGTCGGGATGACCCCTGAGGACTAACCCTGTATATCATTCAAACCATCTTAGCATGACAAACCAGAATATATATGGTTTAGGGGTGGGGATCTTGACCACTTACAAGGTAATAGAACTTTCTTAAATGGCAGGGGGTGGGGGTGACCCCTGGGGACTAACCCAGTATTTCATTTAATGGGCTTTATCATTTAGAACATTTTCAATTAAAAAGATTGTGTCTATCAAAAACAGTTTTCAAACTATAATCATTTGAAAATTTAAAAAAATAAAATCTCATAGGGTTCTATAGTAAAACCCTCTTTTCTTTTTGCCCCTCAAAGTACCCCTTTATAAACCCCATTGCACAAACAAAACCCTGATTGCACCACTAGACATGTTAGTCTAACATACTGTGAAACCCTAAGTTAATCTGACAAGCGGTTTTGGAGAACGAGTGCGGACAAGTTCAAATTTAAAAGCGGCGCAAGAGGAAGAGGAAGAAGAAGAAGAATAATAATAACTAGATTTGCCATTGCAAGCAATAGCGGATGTCACCCTTCCCCCATTGCCACTAGATTGCAACCAGTTTTAAAATTTAAACAGTGAATGCACTTATACTGATGGCTATACATCTTTCTGTAATTTTTTAGATTATTTAGCGGATTTACAAACACATGACAGTCAACATTATTGTGAAGTTTCATTAAGTTTAAAGCATTCTGAAATTTTTGAAATTTTTGCTCCTGTATCCATGGTAACATAGTAGTTCCAATGATTGTCAAAATCATTCAAAACCTGTATATAATGGACAACTATATTGTATAAAAATTTGATGATTTTAAGTTAAAGCATACAAAAATTATTCACCAAACCCTGAAGTTTTTGGAGCATTTTGACCTTTTTGCATTGTTTCCATGGTAACAGCAGCCATTTTGGAAATTCTAACTCCAAATGCCACATCTTCCAATGTTGCTTATCGTTACAGTGAAGTTTCATTAAGTTTGGAGCAATTTGATATTTTTGAAATTTTTGGTGTAGTTTCCATGGCAACATAGTAGTTCCAATGATTGCCAAAATCATCCAACACCAGTATATAGTGGGCACCTACATTGTATTAAAATATAATGATTTTAAGTTTAAGCATATCCAAATAGTTCACCAAAACCAAAAACTGGATTTTTTCACATTTGTTCCGTTTCCATGGTAACGGCAGCCAATTTTTATGTTCTTAAGACCTACTGCAACTCGAAATTTTGTGTTCCTCATAATAGTAGACAATCATTAAAATTGGTTCCATTGGCTCCAAAAAAACTGCCGGACAAAAATCATTGGAAGAATAATAATAATAACAAAGAAACAGAGGAAAAGCAATATGTCACCCGACATTGTCGATCGGGTGACATAATAAGAAGAACTGAGCAAAAACAATAAGTCTTCCCAAACTTCGTTTGGGAGACTTAATTAGCAGGCGTTATTGTTTTTAAAATTCACCCCAAATGTTATCTTTGGACAATGCTTAAAATCCAATCAATAATTAACACCTTTTGGGATAGAATGGTCATGTTTTTACAACAATAACCTGTTTGACATTTTATGACCTCGAGGCTTAAAATAGAACATGGGAAACTTCACCTGTGTACACATCGAGGGTTAATTAAAGTAAAACTCCATCATCAATTTGATCATATAAACATGAAAGAAACTGTTTTAAAACTTTTAAATAACACAAAAGTGAATATGAAATAATAACGAAAATAAAGAAAAATATACTTACCAAATTGCCGTTTCTGGGCAAAAATCTCGTCAGTTTGAACTAAGCATATCTAGCCGGCAATTATTTTCTATGCAATTAACCGAAAGGCCACTTGTAAGGCTATGCATATAACCGGATAATTTAACATTAGATGAATGGGAAATGGTTTTGTGCAGGAGAAAATTATGCAATTAACCGAATTATGCTATTAAGCTGTATGCGATAAAGTGGAGTCGACTGTATACTGCTTTAATATTTTCATGCAAATTCTGATAAAAAAAAAAAAAGAATTTGCCTACCTACCTACCCACACCCAGTCATTATGGGTCGGGTTTGGGCAAACTGAAATATTTTTAATTGTGGCCCAATAGATATAATAACATCAACACCCATCTTTCCAAAAAATGTATATGTTTCTAAAACCATAAAGTCTTAATGTTCCACATAGTGTATAGCTTATCTTTCATGAGACAAATTTCTTTTAACATATTCAAGGTTTGATTAGGGGGATAATATAATGTTTTTTTCAATATTAAATGAGTAGCACATTGGAAAATTTTAAGATAAATATCTGTGCATACTTTTTTGTGCGATAAACCATTTGAAAATGAAAACAAATTTGGCCTGTAAATGATGCTGTTAGACTATTCATAAAAAAATATGAGATTATTGATTTAAACTATAGAGAAATATCAATGATGCTTAAAATATTTATTAATGCACTGATTAGGGGAAAATCCTAGGGGTAACAAATATCAGACCAATGTAAAGTATGATAAGTTTTTTTTGAGTATTTCTTTATTTTGATCAATTAATGCATGCAATATTGAGTATAGAGCAACATTTTTCATACAGAATGTACCCATAAGTTAGCATGCAATAATATATTATATTGCACTAGTGCAAATAAAGCTTGAAATTATTGATGTCATCAGTACAAAAATAAGTTTAAACCGGTTTTTAAAGCTTTGTTATACAATAAAAGGGTTATTTCATGAATATTGGTGAACATTATATCTCGTAGAATATGAATTGTACTCACAAGCTCATTCAATATAAAAATCTACTGGGGAAAATATTCACCCATATTAGTGCCTTAACCATATGATGCCCAAGGTCATTATAAAGACATATATTTTTATAGATTGCAGAAGTAATCAATCAATCAATTAATCGTGTCATTATCTATCAATAACATGACACTTCCAATTTTTTAGAAGAAACATTTAAGAGATGGACAACAGTACTTGTAGTAGCTCCAGCTTTGGTAATATTCACTCTAATAACTAAACAGAAAAACATTGGTAATTGGTAATTAACAGCAAAGTTTGCTAAGTAGATATAAGAAGATGTGGTATGAGTGCCAATTAGACAACTCTCCATCCAAGTCAAAATTTATAAAAGTAAACCATTATAGGTCAAAGTACGGTCTTCAACACAGAGCCTTGGCTCATATAAGGTCTACTTTAAGTTTCTTAGCACCAATCTTAGGAAAATTAATTCTAGTAATTCAAGTCAAAAAAGAACTCAAATATTTGGACTAAATTTCAGTAAGTTTACTTAACAGTAACAGAATTCTAATACAATCTTTAAACTTGACATACATTGCAATATTACAAATCTAAGCACTGTAAAAGGCTGTGCTTTACATTAAATACCAAAAGTAATATGCAGGTTTAGAAAGTGTGCAGACTTACAAAAATTGTCCTTAAAGATATATCGTTATTAGCAACTTAAGATAAATTGAATTAAACTGAAACTTTAAGCTACTACATCAACAGATGGATATAAATGACATATTTAGATCATCAAAAGGCCAATTAAACTTAATTGTCTATTTCAAAGCTTTCTATTTCAATATATGTGAAGCAGAAAATTTTCCCGGAAGTATATTATAAACAAATCAAATGGTTCTCACGTCTGAACTAATAATTTACTGAAGAATTAATATTGAATCATATTCTATGTAATTACTTATATAACAGTTTTACAATTTCCCTCAAATATTCTAATTTTCAAATAATTTAAGGTTGATTATTTCTTAAATTAATTTTTTTCTTATTCCATATATCCTAATGTATATAATACTATATAAATAATATGTAATCAACTAACAATACGTTTTGCTTGGCCTAATGATAAAAAAAAATGTAACAACACAAGGGTAATGTCTTAAAAGGAAATTCTCAAACAGACTTATTCATGAGAATGTGTGATACCATGTGAGGACAGTTCTATGGTAGTCTGCATGTGTGGGTGGAGTCCACAGCCTGTGTGTAGTAAAAAGATAGCCTAAAATCCCATCTGAGTGAGAGTAATCCAATCTATCATTTCCCAGATTGCTATGGTTGACACCCATTAATATAGTGTGTTATACAGTTACTTAATACCTTTCCTGCGAGTTCTATGATAAGTGTGATGTGTGATAAGTATGATAGACTATACACTTGTGTTTTATACTAGCATATAAACACTGATCATGCAACTTACCCTTTAAAATATCTCTGTAAACTAGTCAATAATAGAACAGAATTTTCATGAAAAACCAAAGTGTTATAAACAATTTCAAACGGTACACTATATCATAAAATCACCAAGATACTTACATTTACAAAGTTTATAAATAAGTCCTTACCTATGCTTTCTTGGAGAACAAACAGCTAATCAATATGATTAAAATAAAGATCCTATGTCCATACCTCTTGTACAACGATCTGTCAAAGCCTCTATCTCTTTTTGTTATGATAATAATTATGAAATTTCTTTTTCCAAATTTTTAAAGGTTTGAATCATTACAAGAAGTTCTGATGATCCTGAAACAATTTTCAGAACAGAAAGTAAAATAGAGCATTGTCAGATATTCGTAAGAAAAGCATGGACACAGTAAATGTCAATTCTACTGGCTTTAATCTGACTCAATCATGGAACACACAAGTTTATAAACAGGGGTGGTTAAATTGAATATTTACCTTGAATCACTAGAGCCGAGAATATGATTGACTACCATCATGGAATCAACAACATTCTGGTCCACCTGTGTCATGGTATTGGTAGCAGCTTGACCTTCAACTCGTGTGTTGTGATCACTTGGCTGAAATTAAAAATTTTCAATGATGAAATGAATGTAATAAAAACCTAGGTTTCTTGGATTTTTTGTTGGGATGCTGTCTTATCCAGGCATACTAAATGTCTCCATGTATTTATTTTGTTAAATAAATAGAATTTAAGAGACAATAAGACAAAATTTCCTGTATTATAATAGAGGATGTGACTTCCCAGCCAATCTGTAAAATTGCTTACACAACATACAACTAAACATCATAGAGTAACAGACCAATCACCAAACTTATCTGCTTGCTTCAAGGCTTAATCGGGGGCCTCGGTGGCCGAGTGGTCTAAGTAGTTACTACTGTAATCACTAGCCAGTCAACACTGAGGTTGTGAGTTCGAACCCCTCTCGTGCGGTTGCACTCGACTCCAATCTTAATTGACTAGGATTGTCAGTTTTCCTATCGAAGGTCGGTGGTTTTCTCCAGGCACTCCGGCTTCCTCCACCAATAAAAACTGGCCGCCACGAAATAGCCCAAAAGCGGTGCTTAAAAGTGGCGTTAAAACACCAAAAATCAAGGCTTAATCTGAAGGGGATCCAACAAAATACCAGATATGTTATCCAAATGACAACACAGTGACGACAGATTGATACATAAATAAAACATATAATAGATACCATGATTGAAATTTTGTACACCAGACACATGTTTTGTCTACAAAACACTCATCAGTGATACTTGAATCAAAAAAGTTAAAAAAGCCAAAGAAAGTATGCAGTTGAAGAGCATTGAAGACCCAAAATTCTGAAAGGTTTTGCAAAATACAGCTAAGGTAATCTATTCCTACATTAAAGAGTCAATCTTAATGGGCTAAAGTACAACAGGAACCAAAATTTGGAAATCAGGAAAATACAATAATTTGTAAAGGAATATATGGAGCATATAATAAATAATGTCAAAATTTGAAAATTGAGCAATTTCCTGAAAACTTCCATGCATAAATCCAACTATTTAGGAATGAGTGTAGTACCTTTTCTGTTTTCCATTTTTCCCTGGCTGTGACGGGAGCAGTTTTAGGACGGTTTCCAGCATGTGTAGCACCTACAGGTCTTTTACCCTTGGGCATTTTCTTAACATATGTATGTCCACCAAACTGAGTTTTCTGCCATCTACAAAGTACATTTATACAGACCATTGCAATTTAGTAAAATAATACTACTCACTAAGAAAAGAGTGACGCTTAAATGCTTCAAGTTATTTTGAAATCAAAGGTTCAAACTTAATATATGTCTACTCAGCTACAAACAATTCACCTTAATTTTACTTTTTTCTATATTTTGAGTGTTTTCCACAGTAGATTTGCTAAAAATTCACTATTAACATTTCAATAGTTTATGTCTATTATGTCTGTAATTTCCACTGGACATCAAACAATCAATTAACCATCTTTTTATCCAACATGGAAACAATGTGGAATGTTTTTATAAACACATTTCTTTTGATAACTTTAACAGTCATTTACCAGCTCCAGAACATATATTTGTAACATTTTTTTACAGTAACTCCAGATACTATACAATCAGAAATTTATGCATCCATTTAATATGGCAACTGTTGAACAATGGATTTAAAACATGTTAAATACTGTTTCCATTTCAAGAAAAACTCCATACAAATGATGCTATCAAGATTGAAAATGAATGTTTTTTATTTTGGCAAAACCTATCCTGTCGCAATATTAGCAACAATAAAAACATTGCAAAAATGTCTGGAAAACAATATAGCCACCTTTTTGGGTCACCTGTAGAATCTAAATTTAATTTATTAAAGATTTATTTGACAACTTCTCTCCCTTAGTTCAATTTCCATTTTCAGCATTTAAAGCTTTTGAGAACAAATCATCAACATGAAGATATTTAAAAACCAATAATATTGTAGAAAATATAATGTGAAACAGAATAATTGTGAAAATGTGTCATATTAAATAATAAAAAAAATAATTATCAGTGTGTTAAAACAATTTGTTTGCAGTGTGTGTGAACAATAAGCGTTTGTGATGTTATTACCTTTATGTGATGGCTAGGTTTGTAGTTTTATAGAATTAGTTATTTTAAGCTTGTAAAAGATATATGTAGTTGTATCATGGTAACACAGAAATATTTTCTTCTAATATGTCTATAAAGGAGGGATATTTCAATCATACAAAGATCTAAGCAAGGGGAATACTATGTTTTAGTTTATACAGTATTATACATGTTAAACACAGGTGTATAGATTTGAGAGCAGTATATTTCTACTATACGTTTTTGATTTGGAGAGATTGGAATAAGGAAGTATTATGATTAAATAGTCCCCTTAAAGTACAAGATGAATAAAAGAACAGAGTTCCAATGTCCACCGCGTTGCACATATTTTAGCTATCCATGTACAACGGCAATAACTAAAAAAAATTTTTTTATTTGTTCTTTAAAATTTTCAATAGAGAAATGAAGGATTCAGAGAAAATGCAATGTGATTTCTGTTATAATTAATATTTCTAAGGGGTATAACTCGTTAAAAATATTTGACCAGTACTTATTTTCAAAAGCGTCAAAGACATTGCTGATATAAACCTATGATACAAGTTTCATAAAGTTTTGGCATGAATTGTACATGAGCGCTAACAATGCAATTTTCCATATAATTAATGTTTCCAAGGGGCATAACTCTTTTAAAAATAATTGATCGGCACTGATTTTTGATCTCATCCAAAACATTGCTGATATAAACCTATGGTATAAGTTTCATAAAAATCTTGCGCGGGGACAATAAAAGCAATAAAAGATTAATATTGTTGAAATATCAGTCTTTTTTGTATTCATATAAATAACACCAGAAGGAAGTTAATAAATTGCGTTTTGTTTATCAAATTAATATCAAGTTTTTGGAAATTAACCAATAACTTTATTGCACTATTTTTGATTTTTTTTAAATATGTTTATCCAATCTGATCTGCTTCCATGATTTTGTGCAAAATATTAATCATGTCAAATCTCAAATTCACCTCATTTCAGCATTGTGGACAACATACTTTGAACCAATTAATTTTCTCAAGCGATTTAAATATTTTCTACAGTAGAAAAATAACACTTATATTAATATCCGCAAATATATCAAAGTTGAGATCTTCTTTTATAAACAAAAAATGTAACAATATCATAATATTAAATCACAAGACGTTGGCTTGAGAGGGCACAAACCTAAAAAAATGTATTGCCAAAAATAAGATGGTTAACAAGAATTCCTGTTTTATCCTGTCTCATAGTTATTTTCTTACAAAACTGTCTTCATTGTCATTTTATTTATTTTTCATATGTACACCTAAACAATATTCCTTCTTTTTATTTGAGTTAGTGTATAAGAAGTAGATCTATATATAAGGACTATAAAGCAGTTATTATATAAAAAATACCTTTCATTTTGACTTTCACTGTCAAAGTAGATTTAATACAAGTTTATTGCAACACAACAATGTATAAATTTTCATGAATCATGAAAGTATACTGATCTGAAAATTATCAAAATCAAATGGCTGCTTACTATTTTCAGTCATCAAGAATAGCCTAAGTCTAAAAAATGTGGGACAATTATCTAAATATCATCAAAATCGAGATTCACCTGTAAACTTAATTTGCAACAATCAAATTTGTGATTGACATAAACTAATATTTCTCTGCAAAAGTTATCTCATAGTTCTAAGTTAAATATCTAACTATATCACATCCTTACTTGTATCGGACTGAATCAGGAGCTATCTTCCCTCGCCAATCAATGGCCTGCACTACTCGATTAGACGGTAAGGAACGAGCTGATTTAGATGTTTCCTCAACAATCAAAATATCCTCTGACAGGTAAGGGCTGGACTGAGAACGTGCAAGGTTGTCATGGTTACCACTGTAAAATAAGAATATATACAAAATGTTAAAAAGTCAAAAATATTAATTAAGCAGTTTCTAAAGGATTGATGAAAAATAAATACTGAATTATTATTTACGCTGTTACTATAAGGACATTAGCAAATAAGTCCTAAAATATTAATAATGATATTGTTATAGTGAAAACAGAAAATAAATAGTGGAATATAAATTAAGTTGTTCCACACGGACAAAAGGAAAGATGGCAGAGAGACAAAGAAATTATTTTGAAAATTTTTGTCAAAAAGAGACGAGATAACCAATATGAAATGGGGTATAACTTTAAAACTATAGCAGGTAAATATCTAAAGATTCTGATGGTACAACAATTCATACACTGGAGAATTAGTCCTCATCATAGGGCTTGAACTTCTTATTCCTGAGGCTGTTGCTGGTCTGGACAAAGGTTTCCTAGACACTCCTGTACTAGCTGGTTGTCTGAATCCTGCAACAGGCTGAGGTGCAAGCTGAAAGTATAAAAGTCATGTTATAAAAAGAAAGGTGAGTGGTTTATGTAAAACTTTAAAAAATGTGACTATTGTTAAGTATAGCATTTGTAAAGTGGTTTGGACATCTACAAAAGAGGTTTAAAATAATCGTGAGAGCCTAGAACTCTCCAAATATAACTTTATGGTTTTTGGAACATATTTGCAACCTCAAGATGTGCTGTCTAGCTCAACTGGGGTATGGCTCCTTGCTATGTATCTAGTATTCCATACAAGTAGTATGGATAACACTAAAGTCCTGTCCTCCACTGATTGGTAGGTAATGTTTGTAAAATATATTTTTCATAAGATGGATAAAAATTTTTAAAAATGAATGTTAAATGCACTTAATTTTTTACTACCAGGTTGAAAAGTAATGGGATTCATTGTATGAATATAGTGCGAATCTATGGTGTTTGTAAACAAGGCCATGTGAATGGCAAAAAAAATATTGTTGCTGAAGATGGGGCTACAATTATACTTCAATGAATGATATATGAAAGCTTCTGACTTCTAAAGGTAAACCAGGTATCAGTTTAATTCTATTTATAGGTTTGCATTGAAGTCAATGGGAGATTTTTTACTGAATTTACCCAAGGAGCTATGAGTTAACCTTCCATCCATAAATTATTATCTTTACTCTAGGGGAGATAACTTTAGGGAACATATACATTCCTTTCCTTATTAATTTCATACTATGACATTAAAGAACCTTAGTGAGCGCGCTCACATACACCACGTCCTCACATTGTCATTGTAGAAATAAAATATGTGTAAGAAAAAAAAATTGAATCATAATTTCCTGTCAATATGCACATCTACATAGTATGTCCTTATTATCTACAAAGTTTCATGAAATTATGTTGCGTGGTTTCAGAGGAGTTGTGATGACAAACTGTTGCAGTAGTACATTGAAGCAAATAAGTTCAAAGGGGTGTAACTCCTAGAAAAAAAATTGAACCGTAATTTCCTGTCGATATGCACATCTACATAGTATGTCCTTATTATCTAAAAAGGTTTCATGAAATTCTGTTGTGTGGTATCAGAGGAGTTGCGATGACAAACTGTTGCAGTAGTACATTAAAGTAAATAAGTTCAAAGGGGCGTAACTCCTAGAAAAAAAATTGAACCGTAATTTCCTGTCGATATGCACATCTACATAGTATGTCCTTATTATCTAAAAAGGTTTCATGAAATTCTGTTGTGTGGTATCAGAGGAGTTGTGATGACAAACTGTTGCAGTAGTACATTGAAGCAAATAAGTTCAAAGGGGCGTAACTCCTAGAAAAAAAATTGAACCGTAATTTCCTGTCGATATGCACATCTACATAGTATGTCCTTATTATCTAAAAAGGTTTCATGAAATTCTGTTGTGTGGTATCAGAGGAGTTGCGATGACAAACTGTTGCAGTAGTACATTAAAGTAAATAAGTTCAAAGGGGCGTAACTCCTAGAAAAAAAATTGAATCGCAATTTCCTGTCGATATGCACAACTACATAGTATGTCCTTATTATCTAAAAACGTTTCGTGAAATTCTGTTGTGTGGTTTGAGAGGAGTTGCGATGACAAGAAACAGGACTGACGGACTGACGGACTGACGGACGGACAGACAGACAGACGGACGGGTCAAAAACATTATACCCTCCGCAACTCGTTGCGTGGGGTATAATTATGTTATCAAAACCATTTAATTAGAAGTCTGGAATTTTTCAAATAATAGGAAATTTTCATTTACCTTTTCCTTAAAATGGATCATATCTTCTGAAACAGACTCTATCATGTTGACAACTACGTCCAATTTGACCTCTGACCTACTTCTGTTATCATTGTCCTTAACCTCTGACTTCTTATCATCCCTGTAATAAAATAACCGATAAAAACACAATCTTATCTTTTTGTCTCTAGAATTATTTTTTGCTTGTCAATTTGCAGTTGTGTATTGTAAGCTTCCTTTTTTAAAAAAGAAAATATTTCAAAGAAAATTTTACATGTAAGATTACTTGAGCTCTTTACAGAATGTGACTCAGTTGACCTTTAGATGCTGATTGATTATTTGTATTGTTGGTTTGTTGTCTCATTGAAGTATGCCTCAAATCTCCTTTTCTTCAGAAAAGAAAATTAACACACAAATCAGTTATTACAGTGGTAAAAGTTAAACTCACTCTAATCATTGGCAAAAAAATGAGAAGTTATGTCAAGGATTCAAACTTGTTGATTACTTGTTAAAGGTCAGAGGTTAACTGTAGGCTCTCATCTTCCCTGTTTTACAAAAGCACAAACGTAAATGAAACAAGCATATTAATCAATATCATATCAATGTATTGATTCCCTTATAAACAATAACAATAAACTGTTTGAAGGACTCACTTTTCTAGTAGATTTCTACCAAGTTGATGTGTTCTGGCTGATTTACTGGTTCCATCTGATCGAGAAGACTTTGGTGGAGCTGACTTCGGTTGAGTCGGTGGTTTGCTGACCACAGGATGATGATACTTAGGAAGTTTAGATGGACAATAATCCTCTGCCATTTCATAAAACTCTTCAAGCGGCCGATTTAAAAGGCGATTTTCTTTGTCCACTTGGATTGGGGCGGACTGCATCACTTAATAAGTAATTGAATAATTAATTTAAAAATATGTGAATGACTAGTTTTGATTAACTGTAAATAAACCTATACTTAAACCATTACATTTTAAATTTTTATCCTATTTTTAGAGTTGAAAATATGTGTAATTTTAAAATAATATGATTATCAATTTAGAATGAAAACAGAAACTAAATGAGGTTCTAAGAGACAAACAGAAATTATCAAGATAAATTCAAATAAATATTTGTTAAAAAGGTGTAAAAGAATAAAATTAATCTAAACCAAATTGTTTTCATTATTTTATTATATTTCAATTAATCATTAAACCTTCTACAATAAAAATCATAATTATGAAGTAATAGAAAATTTTTGAACATTAAAACATGTCAAACCAAATGCATGTGTTATCTATACTCTGCAGGTTTGGTTTTAACAAAGTTTGCAAGAAAATTTCAAGTTAATTAAAGTCATATTATAAATTTGACATTTTAAATCCTGGCCTTTTTAGTAATGTATTAAGCAGTTGCATATAAAGCTGAATCCTTCATATCTGTTACACGATAATAAAAAAATATAACGAAAACAATTTGGTTTATAAAATAACCTAAGATCATGCAAAGCCTAATATAAAAGTGATATATGCATTAAAATTCTTTCACACTTGGTTTTTACTTGTAAATTTTGATAAATCTATGATTTTGTTACTGATATTAAATTTCATGACCATACCTACCAATTGGATACCTTTAGAGAACAAATCATTGTCCTCTTTGAAAGCACTTAAAATTTACAAGTTAATTGAAAATACTAATTTGCAATCTTTAAAATATGTTACATTACTAATAGTTTATTGTGAATTGCATGATACTATGAAAGCATTATACTATATTTATATAAAAGTGATGTGTTTACTGAATGAAAATTATGTTGTTTATAAACAGATAAAGAAAAGAAACAGTAATAAAGAAGTGAGTTATTTTATATAGAGATTAGTGTGTATTAGTGTGTGGTTACCTGTATGTGTATTAGTGTTGTTACCTGTATGTGTATTAGTGTGTTGTTACCTGTATGTGTATTTGAGTGCACAAGTCTGTTTCATGTGTTTGACATTATGCATTACTTGATGGGAAATAAGTGATGATTTCTGGGTATATTGCAATGCATTCACTGTATTGTGAATACATAAGGAATATTTATTACTTTGTAGGTATTGTGCAATATTTTCTAGGAACTATGCAATGCCTTCTGGGAATCGTGCACTTTTTCTGCAAACTAAACTAGAGGCTCTAAAGAGCCTGTGTTGCTCACCTTGGTCTATGTGCATATTAAACAAAGGACACAGATGGATTCATGACAAAATTGTGTTTTGGTGATGGTGATGTGTTTGTAGATCTTACTTTACTGAACATTCTTGCTGCTTACAATAATCTCTATATCTATTATGAACTTGGCCCAGTAGTTACAGTGGAAAATATTTTGTAAAAATTTACAAAAATTTACAAAATTTATGAAAATTGTAAAAAATTGACTATAAAGGGCAATAACTCCTTAAGGGGTCAATTGACAATTATGGTCATATTAACTTTTTTTGGTCATGTTGACTTATTTGTAGATCTTACTTTGCTGTACATTATTGCTGTTTACACTTTATCTCTATCTATAATAATATTCAAGATAATAACCAAAAGCTGCAAAATTTTCTTAAAACTACCAATTCAGGGGCAGCAACCCAACAACGTGCTGCCTGATTGGTCTGAAAATTTCAGGGCAGATAGATCTTGACATAAGGAACAATTTTATCCTCGTCAGATTTGCTCTAAATGCTTTGGTTTCAGAGATATGAGCCAAAAACTGCATTTTACCCTATGTACTATTTTTTAGCCATGTCGGCCATGTTGGTTCGCGGGCGGGGTCATCAGTCACATCTTTTAAACTAGATACCCTAATGATGATTGTGGACAAGTTTGGTTAAATTTGTCTTAGTAGTTTCAGAGGAGAAGATTTTTGTAAAAGATTACAAAACTTTACGAAAAATGGTTAAAAATTGACTATAAAGGGCAATAACTCCTTAAGGGGTCAACTGACCATTTTGGTCAAGTTGACTTATTTGTAGATCTTACTTTGCTGAACATTATTGCTGTTTACAGTTTATCTCTATCTATTATCATATTCAAGATAACCAAAAACGGCAAAATTTCCTTAAAATTACCAATTCAGGGGCAGCAACCCAACAACGGGTTGTCCGATTCATCTAAAAATTTCAGGGCAGATAGATCTTGACCTGATAATCAGTTTTACCCCATGTCAGATTTGCTCTAAATGCTTTGGTTTCAGAGATATAAGCCAAAATCTACATTTTACCCCTATGTTCTATTTTTAGCCATGGCGGCCATCTTGGTTGGTTGGCCGGGTCACCAGACACATTTTTGAAACTAGATACCCCAATAATGATTGTGGCCAAGTTTGGTTTAATTTGGCCAAGTAGTTTCAGAGGAGAAGATTTTTGTAAAAGTTAACGACGACGGACGACGACAAGTGATGAGAAAAGCTCACTTGGCCCTTTGGGCCAGGTGAGCTAAAAATGGCTTACGAAACTATAAAATACTTTATTGGCTTAATGGAATTTTTATTGGTAATATGTAATATTTAAAAGGTATCATGCAATACTTTATGGGTAATATGTAATACTTTATGGGTAATATGCAATACTTAATAGGTAATATTGGTAACATGCAATACTTTATGGGTAATATGCAATACTTTATGGGTAATACTGAAATAGTTTATGGGTAATATGTAATACTTTATGAGTAATGTGCAATACCCTATGGGTAATATGCAATACTTTATGGGTGATATGCAATATTTTATGGGTAATATGCAATACTTGATGGGTTATGCAATACTTTATGTTTAATATGAATAAATTTATGGGAAATATATAATTCTTTATGGGTTATGCAATACTTCATGAGTAATAATGATACTTTATGGGTAATTTGCAATATGTTATGGGTAATTAGTAATACTTTATGGGTAATATGTAATAGTTTATGGGGAATATGTAATTCTTTATGGGTAATATGCAATACTTTATGGGTAATATGTAATACTTCATAGGTAATGTGTAATACTTTAAGGGGAATATGCAATATTTTATGGGTAATATGCAATACTTTATGGGTAATATGTAATACTTCATAGGTAATGTGTAATACTTTAAGGGGAATATGCAATATTTTATGGGTACTATGCAATACTTTATGGGTAATATGCAATACTTTATGGGTTATATGCAATACTTTATGGGTAATACTTTATGGGTTATGTGTAATACTTTATGGGTAATATGCAATACTTTATGGGTTATATGTAATACTTTATGGGTAATATGCAATACTTTATGGGTAATGTGTAATACTCTATGGGTTATGTGTAATACTTTAAGGATAATATACAATGCTTTATGGGTAATGTGTAATACAAATGGGTAATGTGTAATACAAAAGGGTAATATGCAATACTTAATAGGTAATATGCAATATTTAATGGGTAATGTGCAATACTTTATAGGTAATATGTAATACTTTATGTATATAATGTATAGTCCATAAACCAATGTGTTTATACAACCTGTGAAGTGCCTCACTTGAATATACAGCTTGTATCTATATAATGTAGCAGCTCTAAAACCAAATGCTCTTACTATACATGGGAGGTGCCTCACACCAATATACAGCTTGTATCTATACAATGTAGCAGCTCTAAAACCAAATGCTCTTACTATACATGGGAGGTGCCTCACACCAATATATTTCTTAAAATCCCACATGCAAATAAATATATATCTAAAATGTGCTTTTAACAAAAAGTAAAAATATTCTGAAGTATACCAAGTGATTGATTGGCCAGATAAGCCAGTACATATGGAGTAGTATTCTCTGGGGACTCGCCTTGTCCATGTGATGAGTAGCGAACATCAAGCGCTGTTCCACTGCGACCAACAAAGTTCAGCTTTCCTTTGTTTACAAATAAATCATTGGTTAAATTAGAGGTATACACAGTTAAATCAGGATTACAGTGCAAATAAGTGAAAGAAACTGACTCTTCTAAATGTAAAATCATTACAATGAAAAAGTAAAAAAAAATCAAACCAAATTTCCACACCCTTCTTATGTTTCTAGGCAAAAATGATTTCCATCCCAAAAAACATATCTGATAAGAAACAAGGTATAATTCTAATTGGGCAGAAATACTTGAGTGGAACACTGACAACATCATCAAACAAAAATCTGGTAAAAAATAATAGTAAAAAAATCAAGCATAGCGAACTATAATCTAAATAGAAAGAGTCAGTTTCTTTCAAACAAAACAAAATGATAATTAAAATGAAATGATAAATATAAGCTTAGGAGAAAGACAGTTAGCATAGAACAGGAAGTTTAACACAAGCTGTCTATTTATTTAAGTATTAAATAATATTAACATTTTTCAAAGAAGATACAATTCTTAAAACTTGCTTACAAATAACTGGTAATTTTATCAATCATTAGGGCATAACTTTAAAACACCTCGTGTGAAAATATCAAATTTAAACTCTACTTTGGTCTAGAAGTTTATAGTAAGGATATCTCAAATTTTATAAGATTTGGTCAATGCTAACCTAAGCTATTGAATGGAACTCACATCTGATGGAAAAGAGTAAAACTTCATTCCCCAGCACCTTTACGTGGAGGCATGATAATAGGAATTACGTTACCACCGTATTTAATAACTAATGTCGGAATATTCGATACTTGATAAAAATTAAATTTTAATTCATACAAAACTTGATACTTGAATGATTCATTATCAAATTTTGACTTTCTTCCTAAAGAAGCATGTTGTAATATGTCACCTTAGCTTTTCTGTCATAATTTACAATGGTATTCACTTTCATTATAGGGTAGACAACTCTATCATTGTAGGGGAGAAAACTCTATCATTATAGGGTGGACAACTCTTTCATTGTAGGGGAGATAACTCTTAATAAATAATTCACTGTAAAAATCTTCCTAGTCCTAAGCTTTCAATTTTGGGGTACTTAAATATAATATTTGAAATCTGAATAAACTTTAATCACTTTAAAAACCAAGGTTTATATCCTTCAATACCTAATATATCTTGACCATAGGAGAAATCCTGATTGAAGTTTTTCCACTGATTGAGATTCTCTGCCCTTGTGTTAGACAGAGGCCTTCCACCAACTGGTGTTGTCATGTGACTTCTTATCTGTGCACCTATAAACAATGTGTATACAGCAAATCATCTACCACCATGTAAACAAAATTATATATTTGCTTTTGTCTATTCCAAGAAAAATGTATCAGGTAATGGCAGGCACTTTTTGTGAACTATAACTCATACAGCTTTATAACAATATCAAATGTGCATTTATATTGTAAAGACTGTTTTGAACATCCTTGCTTCATTATATAAAATGCCTTCCAACCCCCTATACATTTTTTCTTGAATAGCCCTGAAAGTATAAACGTGTGTAACAACCACCAGATATACAAAATTTAATGTTTGATAAAAAAGGCAGTGTTGTGTTGTGTTTGGCAATACCCCCAATGTGTCATTATGTGTCAATAAATTAAAAGTTTACTATCACCATGAGTTTTTAAATATACTAACAATACTTATATATGTGTGTAAAATGAATGATTATTTAAAAGTTGATGTGTGGCTAATATTTAAGTAAAATACCTAATAAAAAGATGCCCACTTCGTTCTTTAACCAGCAAGATTTTCAGATGACTTTAATCTTAACCTCTCTTCAACCATGAATTCCCATACTAATACTTAACCATAATCAGCAGACCTTAATTGTATATCTTTTTGATTCAACAGAACAACTTCAATTTCTATACTTTAATTCCCTTATCTTCAGAACAATACTCAGATATCTGCTCTGTTTCTACCATAACCAAAACCTCATGACCTTTTCATTAATAAAATCTTACTTGTGTGTCTGCTTGGCCTTAATGGTGTGTAAACATCTTGCCTGGAATTCAAATACTCCTCCTCGGCCCTCTTGGCCTCAGCTGCCGCTAGGGTGGCATGGGGGTTCACCAAGCTAGCGATAGGGTGAATCATCTTCTTAGGTAACGCTATGGATATGTTTGATGACTGAAACATAGAGACATGTGTAATATATTGTTCGGTCTATAGTATAAATAAGTAATGAAATGTCAGCTCAACTTACTATGTACTCAATAATAATCTCTCCTTGTAAACCTCTAAATGCAAAACAAATAATACTTCAATCCAAGTAAAAAAATTCTTTGTTTAAGCTTTAATGTTTTGATAAAATTGTACTTATATAATTACCTGATCTGATAAAACTTGATCTCTCCTGAAACTTGCCGATGGTGTCCTACCCCTAGACAGTTTTCTCCGTGATTCGTGCATGTCTGAATCGTCAGGTCCAATTGTAACTTCTACTTCAAACTCAGGTCCCTCATCATCATCCTCATTCTTATGACTGTAGTTAATCAAACTGTCAATGTAGTTTGGACTGACTGCTGAACCATCTATATCTTCTCGTGGGGATCCAGGGGGCGTGTCACCACTATCACCAAGAGAACCAGGAGATTTGTGTATCTGTAATCAGGAGAATATTATATGAGTACTCACTGCTGTACAATCTATATCTAAATAAACCATGTGGAATGTCTCCACTATCACCAAGAGAACCAGGAGATTTGTGTATCTGTAGTAAGACAGGAGAACAATTTACTCACTGCTTCACAATCTATATCTAAGTAAACCATGTGAAAGTCTCCATGTAAGGTGGTATTGTTACACGACTTACTAAAGAAATAATTCATCCACAGTTTGTGAGAGGTTAAATAAACCGTGGCCATCATGAATCATTTTGACCCTTATAGAAAAATTCTGAACTTTTAGGATATCTTTTCAAAACTTACCCAGATGTCAATATCAATGATATCGATAATATCCACATACCGGTAATATGGAATCAATATCGATGATCAGTTTATATATCTTTGATATGTAATATTTGTTCCAATGGAAATAATATAACATAATATTTCTTCCACTTGGATTTATATTATGAGGAAACTTCTATTTCATGACAAGATGATTGGTTGAACTGTAAACAATTTTTCGATCGTATATTTACAAGGCCATCATTGTGGTCACTTCTCCAAATTTGAACAAGGTATTACACACTGTTTACTAGTATATATAGTGCAAGGGATTGGATAGACAAGATTTAATGTTAACTGTTTACCTATTTAAAACAAATTTCACTGACTTGTGAAGTGTGGACATGGTTTTGTAGGTGATAATTAGGTAGCTAGTATAAACATGATTACATAACTATGTCAAACTATGTAAATTAAGGTAGAAAAACTTATCATAACACACTCAGTAAATGTCAAGATGAATCAGGGGAAACATAAACTGTTGACACAGAAATATGTCTGGCCTATTTCTAATTTTGATAGTAAAATGCAAATATTGGTGGCCTTTGTGTCATCATCGGTGGCGATGATGTCGTCAACAATTTGTTACAGTTAGTGTGATTAGGTCAGTTTGCAGAAAATTAAAATGTTGATATTGATTGGATATCATCAATATCATTGATATCTGAGCAAGTTAAACAGATGAATCACAACTAGAGAAGCTAAAGATACCAACAACTGAAGCAGATGAACATTTGAACTATAGAATTGCCAATATTAAATAATGTTGTCCTGACATTTGTAGCAGAGGAAAATAAAGTACAGATCAGTTGAGAGAAATTTTGGATGTCGATATTAAACAAATTAAACAGATGAACTATGAGAAACTTAAATATCAATATCAAATCAGATTTGTTGATATCATCAATATGAACACTTGAAACAGATGAATACAGAGTAAGCTAATTTTGAAAACTGAATCAAACTTTTCTGACACTTTATCCTAATCAGGACTCTCTTCAATGGGCTAAGATATTTCTTTTTTATTGTTTTGTATATAAATCTGGCTGTTAGTTGTCTCATTTGAATTGTTTTACATTTGTTATGTCACAGCATATTATAGCTTGCTATGTGGTATGGGTTTTGCTCATTGTTGAAGGCCATACCATGATACGGAGACCAATAATTGCTAACTTCTACATCATTTGGTTTCTTGTAGAAAGTTTTCTCATTGGCAATCATACCTCTTTAAAAAAAATATAAGGTGACTGTTGATATCAAAATTCAATTATCGTTAATATTGTAGCTAAATTTTGTCTTGGACATGCTTTGGGTTAGACTGGCCGAATAGTTTCAAAGTAGAAGATCAAAATGTGCCTTCCTTTATGTTGGGCATACCTTAATTCTCTAAAATGAGGTATCTTCCTGGTGTAAGTGTGTAAGAGGGATATTGGTCAAAACAAAGTTAACTTATATTCTGACAATGGTATCTTAGAATGGTTTAGGGGGCCTCGGTGGCCGAGTGGTCTAAGTAGTTACTACTGTAATCACTAGCCAGTCAACACTGAGGTTGTGAGTTCGAACTCTGCTCGTGCAGGTGCACTCGACTCCAATCTTAATTGATTAGGATTGTCAGTTTTCCTATCGAGGGTCGGTGGTTTTCTCCGGGCACACCGGCTTCCTCCACCAATAAAAACTGGCCGCCACGAAATAGCCCAAAAGCGGTGCTTAAAAGTGGCGTTAAAACACCAAAAATCAAATCAAATCTTAGAAAGGTTGACAAACCAACATAGAAAGCAGCCATTAGATGCTCTATAATGGCATGAATTAAGAGTAAAGTTGTTGTAATTAGAATCAATTGAACTGACAATGGTATCTTAGAAAGGTTGACAGACCAACATAGAAAGCAGCCATTAGATGCTCTATAATGGCATGAATTAAGAGTAAAGTTGTTGTAATTAGAATCAATGCAACTGACAATCATAGATGTAGAGACAGTATTGATTTATCATATTGTTGTATTGAGTATCAATTAACACATGAATGCACTAGTCAGTCACTCATTAATCATAATTATCTATATAGTTCTTCTAATTACACCTGTCTCAAACAGTTTTTTATTTTGTCCTCTAGTTCTTCACAGAGTCATAATCTTCATCAGTAATAGTTGATTGTCTATTTTGTCACTGAAGCATACCTTTCATAACAAATGTTTATTTTCTGTCTTATTCTGTTTTAGTTGAATATATAAATGTCTATTGATAATTTGTACAATACATATAACTTACTATAGAGAGAATTTATTTACTCCAATATATATATATATAATGGTATAATAGTTAAATGTTGAGAGTCTAAACGCACTGTCAATTCTATTCCATTATTTCTACTTCATTGTAATCATAATTGTTCATATTTACACTATAACTATTACTATTGACACAAGATTCCTTGTAAACACAGTGTACAAACTACACCGACCATTAATCCTGATATAACGTCCAAGTAATCACCAACATCGTCTCAAACTTAAAATAAATCATCTACATTTCTCTCTGTAGGTAGACCAAATTGTAAAGAGAAAAATATAATAAATTTCAAACTTAGTAAAGAAAAATAAATGTTGGGTTATCACCGGTGAAAATTAATCAAGCAAAAGTAGTATACCTGTCACAGATATGAAATCACCTGCAATCTTAGTTATCATGCATTCTCACTTTAGAGGTTCCAAATAGGAAATAATACAAAGTTTATATCCTTGTAAATACATAATTAAATCCTTCAAATGATTAAGTTTAAACAGAAGTCATTTCTAAAACAAAAGCAGGGTTAGGATCAATGGATTCATTTCATTGTACAGTAAAGGAACTTTAAAGTCATTTAATGATTTTCTATACTTCAATTAATTTGAACACCCCACTGACTTTGAGTAATTAAATATCTCTATATTTAAATTTTTTTATAAAAAATGAAATCAATAATGGCTTACAGTCAAATCTAACTTTATAAGCTGGGCATCATTCAATGTTGTTATCCTGCAATCAGTCAGCTATTGTACAAATGACAGGTATAGAAATAAATGTTTGCTTTTTATGTACTTGTACAAATAAATTCTCCAGTTATCCTGCTTCAATCTTATCTAGAGTGAAGGGTAATGTTTAACATAACTGTTCATGTGATGAAAATTTTAGACATTGCAATTACCAGTATGTGTTCAAAAAGATAAGCATTTGGTAAACAGGAAGTTAAAGAGTGATACATCTGAAAACTAATCACACAGTATATTTCATGGGACAGACGGACAGACAGTGGTAAAACAATATGCCACCCTCTTTCAAAGTAAGGTATAAATATTACATACAAGTGTCATGAAATTCGGTCAAAACATTCTCTAGCTTGTGTTCTTCATGTGGACTGATGGACAGATGGAGGTTCAAATAATAGTGTACCATAATATATTCTATCTTTGATGGGCATATAAAAACTGCTGACCTATAGCTAGTGTAGTGTGGTTTTTTATCAGACAATTTTATTTCAGGAGCAAAACATGTTCGCCATTTTATTTTAATTCTTTTCTTGTACCCGATTATTATTTTCTTTAAGGACCAAAGGAAAATAATGCCCATTTAAGACTGAGGAAAATGCATTTTTTTGAGAATCTCAGACACTTAAATTTCATCATAATAATCATGATAATAGAGAAAAGGATAAAATCAAGAAATATGAATGAAGAAGACAAGATTTGCTATGTCATGACATCGTTTGATGCCCATATTTCCCGAAACTGTTGAAAAATACTGTTTTCTGCATTTTGAATCCATATTTATTTTGTGGAAACATTGGCTGTAGTAAAATGCAATCGAATAATTTAAAAAAAAAACTTCTATAATTTTTTTTACATTCAACCACCAAATATTAAGTTGGTTTTTTTTCTTCAGGTTGGCCCACATTTTCCAATCCAAAATATACTCAAAAAGAGATAAAAAAAACAAGGAAATCAAAACATTTTACACCAAAAGACAAATTTTGTAATGATTTGTTGCCATAATAAGTGGACATATGTGAAATTTGTTTTTAATTTCTGAACTACTATTACATGTACTTTAGTCATGTTTCTAGTGCAAACTAGATATCATTGAGATGGGAGCTATCTCTGTGGGCCCCGCTCTGAATAATGTGTGGTAAAAAATTTGTATCTTTATCATTGGACATGGGGTTGTCAACTGAAACCGAAGTTTATGACCTTGACCTTTGACCTAGGAAGTTGTACATACATTATGACACACCCTCTGGTGTTGGTTTATATACATGTCAATTGTCAAGTATAAACTTTGAAATCATAACGGTTCTCAAGATATAGAGCGGACACGATCTTTACCATAGGACATGGGGTTGTCAACTAAAACCAAAGTTTTTGACCTTGACCTTTGACCTAGGAAGTTGTACATACATTATGACACACTCTCTGGTGTTGGTTAATATACATGTCAAGTATAAACTTTGAAATCATAACGGTTCTCTAGATATAGAGTGGACACAATTTGTTACGGACGGACAGGCGGACAGATGGACGAACAGACTGATCACTATAGGGCGTCCTCCATTCGGCGGGGCCCTAATTAAAAGATCATGTATGGTAAGATTGTGTCCAAATAATTATGATGTCTTAGAAGGCTATTTTAGTTTGTTGCTGTGATGCCTTCCTATAATAATGTGCCAAAGCAAAAATCATTTTTTGGAGAAGGTAACTTTTAAATTTCAGTAACATTTTTGAGCCAATGATGGAGCCAATGATTGAGCCAATGATGGAGCCAATGATGGGCCTTATTTTCCCTACTCCTTTATGCTAGGGGATATTATTGTGATTTTTTCTTAATGAAAACCTCTCAGAAACATTTTTCCACTTTACAGTATTGTTATATTATTTGAGAAACTGATAAGAAAAGGTAGCACTAGTCCATTGTGAGCTAAAAAAAACCACATAAATAAAACCAATACAACTGATTCTACCTGTCATTCTCTTCCTCACCACAAACAGATCATCAGTACTTGCAAGGTATTTACTTCATTAATTCTCATCCATATAAAGTATAACAAAATATGCTACTCTTGAAAAATCCATTACCTTTCACATTATAGGATGAACTTCATGTAACTAGTCTTATATACATTTCCTAAAACATCAAAGGACAAACAAGGCATCATGATACTATGACACTGAAGGGTTGAAGGTCAAGGTCATAGGGATGCAAAAAAACCACCATCAAATGATTAATGAATTTATTGCAACCCTTATAATGAACTTAGCTCTTGTTACCTCCCCTTTATGCACATCTTAGTGCCCATTGCATGTGTATGTCTACAAATGTTCAAATTTCATGTAATCTTGCTAATAAGTGTGCAGTGTTCTCCCCAGGATTTTCAGATAGCACCAGGGTAACGCGTGTGGACAGCTTGGTAAAATGGTTTGTACAATCAGTTGTGTCGTGTTGCTTGCCTATATTTCTAGTTACCGTAGTTTTTATGTCTTTTGTTTTGTTTTAACACTGTGGTACTGTGTTATGTAGACATTGAGTCAGAAAATTATTGGTAAAAGAGAAGTAAATCAAACAGTTTGTATACTTGAATATCTTGTGAAAATAAATAAAACATGATTCATTACTAAATATTCATCTAAATAATTACTGTATAGTAATTAAATCTTTTATAAAATCCATGATCAATAAAATTAAAATATCATTTAAGAGAACAAAAATGTTCAATTTAAAAAACTTTCTAGTTTCTAGATAGAAAATTGTTGTATATAAAAGGATTCCTGTCATAAGGAGATATAAAATTAACAAGAACTAATATTGTTTTATTATTAGAACCAGTTTCTATCTTAAATTTTAATAAAAAAAAAATTTCATAAAATTTAAAACATTTTGCCATAATTATAAATCTCATGTAAATATTAACCTTACTTGTCTTTGGTGATAATCAAACATACGGTAGATACACAGACTAAATACTGCACTAAAATCTAAATCTTTATTTGGCATGATCCATTTAAAAAGAATTCCTAAATCTATCCTAGGTCTATAGATCTATAAGTAACCATATTCAATGTCAACAACAAAGTCTCCCTATTTTCCCGCCTAAATGACAGGAAGTAGATATAAATAGATTTTTAACATGTGCTTATGGATATTGTTTGCAAAATTACTTCTTTTATTCATTAATTTTGGATATAGATATTCAGTTTGAAGGTACAGTCATGCATTTTATTTATATAAAATAGATTGCAATTAATTGTAAATAAACTTGAATTAACTGGGTCATGTGATATGTACAGGTCAGATGTCTGTCCCCTTTAAATAATTTGTTGACAGGTACCACAGGGGTTCCCATTGATAGTAAACCCGGCAAATAGTAACAAACTACTGTGCAGGTACTTAAGTTTAATACCCGGCTATCATGCAATAACTATGTCATAATTAAAGATAATTTTGGCCATGGTTTAATGTAAAACGGACATCGTGAATTTTGATAATCGTACATGTATATTTCTGACAAGGAGCGCTTGTTCTAAGTGCTTCATAAAGATCAATTATCTGTAATGAGCCAACAATTTATTATGTATAAAAAATGTTCCAGCGTGTGTACAACTATCGGCACTGTTTGTGTACAAAGTATTTGCCGACTTGTCACAGGTCCGTGCTTGGGTGGAGAGTGAAGCCATAAAATAGTTGTCTGTGATCATAAAATTTTGATCTCTTAAGTAAAACACAAAAGAATCATGTTACAAATGTTAATAACATAGATTAAATCCAATCAACAAGGTTAACCTCTTAAAGTAAATCGATCACGTGGTGTAAACAATCTGGTTTGAACTGGTCAAAATTCACCTGGAATTTTATACCGCACGGAAAAGATTTAACAAGTCGTTCAAAACTTTACCGATTTACAATTTTTTAACTGAAAATTTTAGCACCAGGGACAAAAAATATAGCACAGCGGTAAGACCGATAGTGACAACTCTACAACAGATTAATCCATCGGATCACCAGCAGTGATGGTGATACATGGCTGTGTACATTCTGTATATACAACTCGTCTAAACATCAGCCCAACAATGTTAGATCTGAAAATTTGCTTTTGCAAATTTTTAGTTCGAATCCCGGCGAGGGAAGAACTAAAAATTGGTAAAGAAAATGGGGAATGTGATAAAGAGACAACAACCTGACCATAGAGCAGACAACAGCCGAAGGCCACCAATGGGTCTTCAATGCAGCGAGAAACATCACTGCTGGTGATCCGATGGATAAATCTGTTGTAGAGTTGTCACTGGTTCAGACGTACTTATAAATATAATTATTTCTGTGACTGTATCTTGCATTAATTTGTAGGATCCTTTACAATAGATATTTCAGCTGATCTGTAACAATTCCATCTTCATGCCTTATATATCATGTACTGTATTACAACGCTAGATTAAAACTGACGAGGAAAGGTAACACCCGGCCACCGAAAACTTTATAATTTGAAGCCTAGGTAGTCGAGTGGTCTAGCGCGTCGGATACAGTGCAGGCGATTTGGTGTCACGATATCTCAGTAGCATGAGTTCGAATCCCAGCCAGGGAAGAACTATAAATTTGCAAAAGCAAATTTACAGATCAAACATTGTTGGGCTGAAATTTAGACGAGTTGTATATACAGAATGTACACAGCCATGTATCACCATCACTGCTGGTGATCCGATGGATAAATCTTTTGTAGAGTTGTCACTGGTTCAGACGTATATATATATATATAATTATAGGTGTAAAAAAATAATTTTCACATGTGCAGATATATATACATGTATTCATAAAATAAATAGTAAAATAAGTAAACAAGTTAACAGTTCCAGTCAATTTAGGATAGACTCTTGAATTTTGAAGAGTCGAAATAGGATGAACGGATCATATAAACCCATAGGCAAATATAATACAAGCCCAATCGAAAAAATATAAACAAGTCTAAATTGAAAACAACGTTCAAACCTATGTTTGCGTTGGATAAAAACCGTAATTTTTATATGTGTGCATGCAAAACAAATTTCTTGGTAGAGGGGTCTAAATACAGCACAAACAACATTTTCCAAAAGACCAAAATAGTGAAAAAGTATATTTTAACAAAACGCATTTGACTAGCAGGTCGAACAACGGATGTTCTTAAACCCTGCTGACTGCCATTGGCGATTGCCAAATAAACGGATCACCAGATGTAACAAGATGGATCTTAACTATTAATTTAATACCAAACAGAAAACAATAAACTTGCGGAAAAGATGGTATACCGCAAACAAAAGGTGAAAAAATTAGTACACCATATCCGGATTTCGATAATTAACATGATTAATGTCTCTTCAGTGATGTTAGGAATCGAGACGGTATTTGGAAGGCCATATAATTTACCTCAATTTAGGATAGACTCTTGAATTTTGAAGCGTCGAAATAGGATGAACGGATCATATAAACCCAAAGGCAAATATAATACAAGCCCAAACGAAAAAATATAAACAAGTCTAAATTGAAAACAACGTTCAAACCTATGATTGTGTTGGATATATGTATGTACATAGAGTGTTTCTAATCTGAGAGGGACATATAATTGCAAAACAGAAAACAGACATAAAACACTCTACTGAATGTAAGAAATCATGACTTTTCCATAATTTTCACCTTTTATGTTAATTTGAGGGAATTAAAGCCTGGAATTTATTAAATAAAATTCTAGGCTATTAAAAGTTATCAAGATAGAATGGCAACTCTGTTACTGACTATAATGGCTAAACAAAACGGTTTCTTTTTAATTTTCAGCGTAAAATAATAATTACCTGGAAATGTTGTCCAGCAAGGTGAGATCCTGTTTCACTAATGGAGGGACCTGGTAGGTCATTCAGGAAATGTTGAAGTGATGACATCTTATTATCTCCCTCTGTAAGGTAATTTGTTGACAAATAATCATTTACATAATCTTGATTAGATGGCAGAAGGTCAAGGTCAAAGGTTCCCGTTTTATATGGAGATTCTGTTCTAATAGATGGAGTCTCACAGAAAATTCTATTTTTAGATCCATCAGCTGATGCTAGTCTCACTGTAGTTGTCTCTACTTCCTGTTGTTTAGTAGGGGCGTGTGTCTTGGTACTCTTTGTTCGTTTAGCAGAGGCTGTCTTTGCACGTGGTGCCGCAGTCTGAGTCTTACTGGATGCAGAATCTTTTCTCTGTTTCCCAAATCGCTGAAAAATCATTAAATCTTATTTAATTTACCTGGATACAAACTGCTAATTTAATATTTGATTTGACATGACAACAGCAACAATCCCATTGACAGAGTGATTAAAATGAACAACAATTTTCAAAAATGACATGCATAATCAGGTTAATTAAGTGTTGACTAAGTGATATCCTCAAAGATAGTCAGGGTAGTTAAACACATCTATAGTAGAAGACAAATAACATAATCAGGTTAATTAAGTGTTGACTAAGTGATATCCTCAAGGTTGTCTGGGTAGTAAAACACATCTATAGTAGAAGACCCAATAACATAATCAGGTTAATTAAGTGTTGACTAAGTGATATCCTCAAAGGTAGTCAGGGTAGTAAAACACATCTATAGTAGAAGACCCAATAACATAATCAGGTTAATTAAGTGTTGACTAAGTGATATCCTCAAAGGTAGTCAAGGTAGTAAAACACATCTATAGTAGAAGACCCAATAACATAATCAGGCCAATAAAGTGTTGACTAAGTGATATCCTCAAAGGTAGTCAGGGTAGTAAAACACATCTATAGTAGAAGACCCAATAACATAATCAGGCCAATAAAGTGTTGACTAAGTGATATCCTCAAAGGTAGTCAGGGTAGTAAAACACATCTATAGTAGAAGACCAATAACATAATCAGGCCAATAAAGTGTTGACTAAGTGATATCCTCAAAGGTAGCCAAGGTAGTTAAACACATCTATAGTAGAAGACACAATAACATAATCAGGTTAATTAAGTGTTGACTGAGTGATATCCTCAAAGGTAGTCAGGGTAGTAAAACACATCTATAGTAGAAGACCCAATAACATAATCAGGTTAATAAAGTGTTGACTAAGTGATATCCTCAAAGGTAGCCAAGGTAGTTAAACACATCTATAGTAGAAGACCCAATAACATAATCAGGTTAATAAAGTGTTGACTAAGTGATATCCTCAAAGGTAGCCAAGGTAGTTAAACACATCTATAGTAGAAGACCCAATAACATAATCAGGCCAATAAAGTGTTGACTAAGTGATATCCTCAAAGGTAGTCAAGGTAGTAAAACACATCTATAGTAGAAGACAAATAACATAATCAGGCCAATAAAGTGTTGACTAAGTGATATCCTCAAAGGTAGTCAGGGTAGTAAAACACATCTATAGTAGAAGACCAATAACATAATCAGGCTAATAAAGTGTTGACTAAGTGATATCCTCAAAGGTAGCCAAGGTAGTTAAACACATCTATAGTAGAAGACCCAATAACATAATCAGGTTAATAAAGTGTTGACTAAGTGATATCCTCAAAGGTAGTCAGGGTAGTTAAACACATCTATAGTAGAAGACCCAATAACATAATCAGGTTAATAAAGTGTTGACTAAGTGATATCCTCAAAGGTAGTCAGGGTAGTAAAACACATCTATAGTAGAAGACAAATAACATAATCAGGCCAATAAAGTGTTGACTAAGTGATATCCTCAAAGGTAGTCAGGGTAGTAAAACACATCTATAGTAGAAGACAAATAACATAATCAGGTTAATTAAGTGTTGACTAAGTGATATCCTCAAAGGTAGTCAGGGTAGTTATGTTTTGCAAATTAAAATCTTTCATTTTAAATTTTGATATCATCATTTTCTAATTGCAATATTTCATCTCACATGTTGGTGTAAATATTGTTCTACAATCACAATTAGCCAACAGATAAATTTCTTAATTTACAGTACATATGGGTCAATTTAATTAGATTGGCACTAAAAATTGTAGTCCCCTTGGATAGGTTTCACATTCAATGTTCCCTTTCCCCCCAAATTAATCCTGTCCCCTTTTCCTGAATGTGACCTAACGAATTAGACTTATTACCGGGTTTGTACTAACATGAGCAACACGACGGATGCCACATGTGGAGCAGGATCTGCTTACCCTTCCAGAGCACCTGAGATCACCCCCAGTTTTTGGTGGGGTTTCCTGTTGCTCAGTCTTTAGTTTTTTATGCTGTGTTTTGTGTACTATTGTTTGTCTCTTGGTCTTTTTCTTTAGCCATGACATTGTCAGTTTATTTTCGCATTCTGAGTTTGAATGTCCCTCTGGTATCTTTTGCCTCTCTTTTCTCTTCCCCCGAAAAAAATTATCATCCCTTTTCTAATCCGGATCAAACATTTCAAACAAAAGCTTTGTTGTACCTAAGAGTTTTGCTAAGAAATTCTATTTTAAGATAAAGAAGGAAACGTGTTGTTTCTGTGTACATTGAAGGTTTTTTATACTTACTGGAGCAGTATGAAGAATATGTTTGTTTGAAGTGTACCAATGATGGACCTTAATTAATGAGTCTTTTTGTTTCATTGAAGAAGTCCTGCAAATGAAAAATAATATTTTCAAAATAATAGAAAAATTAGCTATTCCTGTTCAAGAGCAGAAATCATAAAAATATTTCTTAGAGAGAATCTATAGTTGATGATTTATTTTCATCTTCAATACACCAACTCACTGCAGTCCACAATAGAATTTTTGAAGAAATCAAAATAAAATAAAAATTAGTTTTCGGTAAGCTTAATGTTACTCTCAACTGACATGCTTAGTGCTTTTAAAAAATAGAATACCCAAATCCCACAATACCATTTGTTTATTGAAGAAAGGAATTTCAATTATATCCCCTTTCATATGTTGGACCACGATTATTTTCCTTTATAAATATCTTCAGGTAGTGTACCTCAGCTGTGTAAAAAAAAGTTCATCAACATCCATCTGCTTTTTTAGAAGGAGTTTGGTTACAAGGTACATGAATAGACAGACTGATGGACAGGGTGTTTTATATATAATATACCGAAAACACTTTTTAAAATTGAAATACAGGGATACTAGTACAACAGACCTAACCACAAATCTTTAAATCTTAACTTTTCAAATTTTAATTTGTCTACGAAATATTTTTTACCAGAACAAAGATGTCAATGTAATGAATAAAAGAGGATTTTGTCAAACAAGCTGTTTTGCTATATTAACAATATCAATGATATAATAGTAATACTCACTGTTTTACTTCACACATCATTTTTATCAAAATATGAAAAAATCTGGTGTCTTGCTGGGCCTGTACCCTAAAATAAAAAAATCAATAGATAATTATCACATCATAATATGTGCAACAATTTTTTTTTAAATCAGCTCAAAATAATGGCCTGACAAAGACTATCTGTAAGTGGAACGGCCATAATTTTGCCAAAATGAAACCAATCTGACTGAAAATCGAAACCAGTAGCTGTTACTACATTCCATTAATAATAAATTTAATATCTGCATAATTATAAAAAAAAACCTAAGCTACTGGTTATGATTATGAGAACGACTATATGCCCTGGCCAGTTAGAAGTATAGAAAGCTATATTCCCTTACACTGTTCAACAAGAGTTATCTTTCCCTAGCCAGTCAGTGGTATAGAAAGCTATATCTCCTTACACTGTTTCATACAAGTTTTTTTTTGTTGACACCAGATCTCTCTGTACTGTCATTAGGTCCAAGACCATGTTTATTCTTCAAAATGTCATGTATATTATTGTAAACTTTCTAATCAGAACAAATCTAACATCAAATACCAGTGAGATGAGCCAATCTTAAATCTCTGTGTTGTGTGAGATGATTTTCTGGTTGTAATCTTTCTAATATGGACAACAACTTACATTAAATCTTTGGCTTTACCAGTGAGATGGGCCAATCTTAAATCTCATTGTCGTGTGTGATGATTTTCTGAGTGTAATCTTTCTAATATGGACAACTACTTACATTAAATCTTTGGCTTTACCAGTGAGATGGGCCAATCTTAAATCTCTGTGTCGTGTGAGATGATTTTCTGAGTGTAATCTTTCTAATATGGACAACTACTTACATTAAATCTTTGGCTTTATCAGTGAGATGGGCCAATCTTAAATCTCTGTGTCGTGTGAGATGATTTTCTGGGTGTAATCTTTCTAATATGGACAACAACTTACATTAAATCTTTGGCTTTACCAGTGAGATGGGCCAATCTTAAATCTCTGTGTCGTGTGTGATGATTTTCTGAGTGTAATCTTTCTAATATGGACAACTACTTACATTAAATCTTTGGCTTTACCAGTGAGATGGGCCAATCTTAAATCTCTGTGTCGTGTGTGATGATTTTCTGAGTGTAATCTTTCTAATATGGACAACTACTTACATTAAATCTTTGGCTTTACCAGTGAGATGGGCCAATCTTAAATCTCTGTGTCGTGTGGGATGATTTTCTGGGTGTAATCTTTCTAATATGGACAACAACTTACATTAAATCTTTGGCTTTACCAGTGAGATGGGCTAATCTTAAATCTCTGTGATGATTTTCTATAGCACCATACATGTCTTTAAATTCTCTTATTTGCATCAACTGTAATGATTAATTCTTATTGTCAGTCTGTTAAAACATATCTACATGTATTTAAAGAAGAATCATAAAAACTGTAATACAAATGAATTTCTATTAATTACAAATGACATATTAATGATGAAATAATCAGTTCTGCACACTATAACATGTCTACATGTGACAGTTCCGTACTGTTGAAACTCTCTAACATATCTACATGTTAAAAGTTGATTATTGCAGAAAAATGCATATACAAACAAGTCCTACCAATACTGTACAGTAAAAAAGTCATGATGACAAATGCTGATAAAAAGAACTTATACAGAACTAAATATTAAAGAAATCAGCACTCTATTCATCTAAAAAATAGGGAAAGACTAGAACTGGAGCAAATTTAGTCAAATATGAGTTGTTAACAAGGGATAGGAAACAGTTATATTTACCAATCATGACAAAAATTTGTACCCTTATGACCAAAATATAATTTTAAAAACTTGAGTTTCAAATTAAAAAAGGGGCCTCGGTGGCCAAGTGGTCAAAGTAGTTCTACTACTGTAATCACTAGCCAGTCAACACTGAGGTTGTGAGTTTGAACCCCGCTCGTGCGGGTGCACTCGACTCCAATCTTAATTGACTAGGATTGTCAGTTTTCCTATCGAAGATCGGTGGTTTTCTCCAGGCACTCTGGCTTCCTCCACCAATAAAAACTTGCCGCCACGAAATAGCCCAAATGTGGCGCTTAAAAGTGGCGTTAAAACACCAACAATCAATCAATCAAATTAAAAATATTGGGTCATTTTGTTATCAAAGTCACCAGCATGCAATACTCAGCTGTGTTACATGGTAAATCATGGCATTTAAATAATTTCCAATTCATTAGTACTCAGCCTAACATGGCTTGGAATAACATCTTTTAACTAAAATACCAAGATGATAATAAGATACTGTAGTATACTTGGTCCAATCCTATTTGACATATCTCATATACAAAATACATATGTGTCCTTACCCTGGATTTACGTAAATCCTTCAGTCCATTCTCCAGGGCCCCAATCTGGGATTGCAGTATCATTGTTCCCATTTTTTCCAATAAATTGATTACAATTTACAACCCTGAAATTAAATATTCAAAACATAAATTCACAAGACAAAATACACTTTTTACATGCTTTATTGCTTACCAATATTTGCTTACAGAAATTAAGTCTAAGGAACGAGAGAATTTCAGGACAGGCTATATATATCTGTATCCCAGTCCACCCTTGGGATGTTAAAAAGTTGAACATATTAATACAAGAGTTAATGTACATGTGTGAAGTTTAATATTGTACCAGTCTGATTGTACATGTAAACATTTGCTAATGAAATCATGAACTTGCCATCTTTGAAAATACTAAGAATGAGTTTTGTAGCAACAGGTGTATTTAAAATAATAACTAATATAAATAACAACAACAATATCTTTACAAAATTCTATGCATTCACTTTTGATTAAATTTGTTTAAACAATGGGTTCAGAAAGGGTTAGATTGCCAAAGAATTAGAGAAACATGTTTTTTTATATTTTTGCTCATTTATATGTTTCGGAGTTTAGTGTGACGTCCATTTTTGGTGAACTAGTATTACATTATTGTTTAGGGGCCAGCTGAAGCCCGCCTCCAGGTGCAGGATTTTCTCGCTGTGTTGAAGACCCATTGGTGGCCTTGGGCTGCTTTCTGCTCTTTGGTCGGGTTGTTGTTTCTTTGACACATTCCCTGTTTCCATTCTCAATTTTATTATATAGTTATATATATGTAAACGAAACCAAATAAAACTTTCGTGTACTCTTTTAGAGTGATGCTAAAATTTTAGTTTGAATCAATGACTTGGGAGTATGGCAGGTAGGTTACAATAATGACCTTAAATCTATTTCTTAAAGAATGATCAATAAATGGTATGGTTAAGCATTTCAAATAGTTTTCTGTATTTAATTCAATTTTATATTTGCAAACATCATACTACTTTGTTTATCTTTTAATAAGGCCGGGTTTATACATATTACTCGGCTAAATCAGAATCCTTGGTTTAAATGCTTCATTTAGTTATCGTGAATAATTAAATCTACAATTAAGCTGCTACTACTGGGTATTATTCTGTTTCAGCTTATAATTTTAAATTCTGCCTAACTGTTTACGTATCAACTGGACAATTTACTTATATCTAGATTTTATTTATATAAAATAAGGAGATATGGTATGAGACAACTATCCAAAATAGTCCAAACGAAGCGGTTTAAGCAACTATAATCCACAGTACACCTTCAACAATGAGCAAAACCCATAATGAATAGTAATCTATAATTCTAAAGCCGTATCATGACAAAATGTGAAACAATTCAAACAAAAAACAAACAAAAAAACTGCCTGATTTATGACAAAACAATAAATCAAGAATAAATATGACAATCAACCACCTCGGCACCTGACTGGACAGGCACTCTAGAATGTGAGAGCTCAATCCTCCACTAACTTGGGACAGTAAGTGGTATTACAGCACATATAAGAAGCATGTTCTCTCACACAAAAGTATGAATAAGTATTGAGTAAACATCCAACGGAATTATTCAATAAGTATAAAGAAGTCATAAACAGTCTGATAAAAGCATGGTTCATTGGTTGTAATGTAGGTAATTTGTGCTCGGGTTGATACTTGAATATGGTTACCTGTTTTGTTTTGTACAATTGTTGTCTTATGGAGATATGAAAAGCTCATCAGAGGTTATGATATGTGTACCGACTTAAATAACTTTTACTTGGCTTGAGGACCGCCCGAACCTACCAAATTTCACAACAGTCAACAGTGAACAGGTGCCCGTCAACTTATTTAGCCCCAATGTTCCATTTATTGAATCTCTCAGTGTTTGAGTTGTTTGTGGGAACAACAATCAAACAATTCCCAGTTATAATAAATCAATTATCCCACCTTTATATACATCTTTTCACCTAATGAACATTCAAGCGTAACTTGACAACAGGGAAGCTTCATCACGTGGTTCAGTCGGAAGTAACTTCCGAAAGCTACTGTTCCCGCCAAAATGTAGATTAACGTCAAAACGACCACCTACATATAAAACACACCTTTCAATCGGTAAATCGAACACGAGCGAGGACACTAGTCCGTTAATCTCATTTTACGAACAACACAATGTTTGGAAATTCTAAAAAAAATGTAAACTTAATAATTGACGTTCTACCATTTTGCCTAACAAATTTAGATAATACTAAACACGCATCTATTTATAAACTCGCTTAAGAACTGGCATGATCCTGGGAACAGTATATCTATGTATATCAATATATATGTTCCTGCATGATCACATACTTTTATATAACATAGCAAGATCTGATCAGTGTTCATTGTATTCTGGGACTATTGCGGCTTGTATAGGGTATATTGGGATACGGGATATTTGCCATTTTAATTTTAGGGATATGGGATATTTGTCCTAAAAGTAAATGGGATATGGGATATTGATGCATTTTTAAGGATATTGAATTTTGAACATGAAAAAAAATAAGTGGAATTTAAAAGTTAAGTACAGAAATATTTACATCTCACTTGATAAAATTGCCCAAAAAAATTAATATATAAGGTCATTTTAGTGCTTTGTGATTTTCATTGAGTTTATGAAATTATGGTCGTTTTATTTAAAAGTCATCCAAACCCACCCAAGCAAAAAGTATTAATCTATTTTCGATATTTATATGCTCATATGTACTGATAATTTTAAAAGTATTTATTTTGCTTTCCATACTTCGTTCCTTATTGTTAATTTTCCATTTTTGGATGGTGATGTTCCTTTTGCACTATCTTACGGTGTTTGTATATCACAACTCTTTCGCTATGACCGTGTCTATTGTAACGTTTTTGGATTTTAATGAACGTAATCTATGTCTCACTGGTAAATTATTAAATCAGAGATTTCGTTACCACAAATCACTTAACATCTTTACTAAATTCTTCCGTAGATATAAAGATTTGGTTTTGAAGTTTGGTTGTACCTGTAGAAAACTTATTTCAAACGAGATAGCACATCCTCATTTTTACGGAGATGTTGTTTACCGTGCCATTGGATGTTGGATGTGTAATGATTGATAATTTAGTCTTAGATGCATGATTTTTTTTATTAGTTGTTATTGGCTTTGAACTAGCTGTCAGTAACTGCGAGTACTCTCAGATCTGTACTTAGTGTCTTTTTGTTGATGGGATGCACAAGTACTCGGTCACGTCCACTCTGTATTTTTGTTAGATGTTTTTTCTATTTGTATCCATCTGATGAGTTAAGCCTTTTTCAACTGATTTGTATAGTTCGTTCTTATGTTGTATTGTTACACCACTGTCCCAGGTTAAGGGGAGGGATGGGATCCCGCTAACATGTTTAACCCCGCCACATTCTGTATGTATGTGCCTGTCCCAAGTCAGGAGCCTGTAATTCAGTGGTTGTAGTTTGTTGCTGTGTTACATATTTGTTTTTTGTTCATTTTTTTTTATACATAAATTAGGCCGTTAGTTTTCTTGTTTGAATTGTTCTACATTTGTCATTACGGGACCTTTTATTGCTGACTATGCGGTATGAGCTTTGCTCATTGTTGAAAGTAGTACGGTGACCCATAGTTGTTAATATCTGTGTCATTTGGTATCTTGTGAAGAGTTGTCTCATTGGCAATCATACCACATCTTCTTTTTTATATTATATGCCCATATGCATTGATAATTGTCTTGAAATAATCATAGATTATACAGTGTTGTCAATATTTTTGTTTATTTTGATGCTTTATATGATTACGGGATATTTTCTGGTGTTTCACCTCTTATTTTTTACGTGCCGAGGATCTTCAGCGGTCTCTATACGTTTCAATGATTGTAATAGATTATGGACCAAGGGTAGTCCGAGATTGCTCTGATGTGCAACGGTTGTTTTGCCAGACAAGCTGGGGCCGTGGGACGTCAGAGCACGTCCCATATCAAAAAGTGGATATTTAGCCGTACAAAATGGATGCCCTGTTTGAATTTGAAATTACCTCTTAAATAGCTTTTTAAAAGGTTAAACTAGAATTAGAATTAGGACTAAATAATCAGTGTAATTTTTTCTTCTATTACTGGTGTTTTGAGGAAGGAAATTAGTAAAAGTAACAAAAATATTGTGATCTATGAATTTCATAAAGTTCAAGATCACATAGTCAAATTTTGTGTTTCTTTGCAAAACAAGGGCTGTGCAAATTTTGCTTGCTGTAAAAATATTGCAATAGTTAAGTTTAATGTACGTGCATTAGCAGAAAGCTTTCTTGTGTTAAATTTTGAGTTTTTGAACTTGCATGCTGAATATCCACTTTTTGATATGGGCGTGCTCTGACGTCCCACAGCCTCAGCTTGTCTGGCAAAACAGCCGTTGGATGTCAGAGCAATCTCGGTCTAGAAACAGGGTTGCGTCCTTCTGTTCTTTCCAACATAGGTTAACGTGCAGGATGAAGTTTCTTATCAATGAAAGAAGAATGCTATCAAAATGAAATTTTACAGACATATACATCATGGTTTGAACAATTAAAAAAAAATGTCTGAAATAAGACCCCTTACACCAAATTGATCGTTTATGATCACATGAAAAGTGATTGTTGTACAACGCTCTAAGATGGAACACTTCATCTTTTGGACACATTTTCTTATTTAACAATGGAAGTATGCACTGTAAATTTCCTTTACCACAGTTTTTTTTCTCTTTATATTCTAGTTCAACAAGGAATATAATTTTAATCAAATGTTAGTATTTTGAAAATAGATAATATAATTTGATCATTTTTCAGTCAAAATTGTTGAAGTTGAGCCAAAATCCTCATCAGAAGTGATGATGAGAAAAAAATGGGTTTGGGAATGAATTTATAATGATTTTTTGGGATATTTCAAAATAGTTTTAGGGATATGGGATATTTGTATAAAATATTTATTGGGATATTAGGGGTAAACATTATAGGGATATGGGATATTGGGATAAAAACTTAATGGGATATGGGATATTGATACCCCCCTAAACAAGCCTCACTATTATACTAACAGAATTAGTTAGTATAATAGTCCCAGTTGTATTTGAAAAAAATGAGAATGACAATGTCTGCCAAATTAATGCGTGTATCATTGCATAAATATGTACTCTTTTTTGGGGGGGTCATGTAACATCACATGTACTGTGCCACTATGGCGCTAGCAGACGAAGAAGAGGAAATAAATAATTTACCATATGCATTGAGCACATGTACAACCGCATGAATAGCCTTATCTTGAGGTTTAGCAATATGATAGCATATACATGTAAGAGTAAAATATGAGTAGGCCAAGCAATAGAAGCAACCAGTATGGAAGTACTGTAAAGTACCATAGATCGAAGCAATATAACTAATACACAAAATACGCAAACCTTCCATTCCAAATTACATACGATATGCTACAATAACATTTAAGAATATACAGGTTATGCTTCAGTACAGAAACATATATATACAGAGATTGGCAACTCTGTGAAATCAGAGACAAATATATCTGTCTCTGTTCAGTACCATGCAGAATATACAGGATTATAGGCGGATATGCCCCTACTTTCAGCCATATACAGATATAAAGATAATTACCATCCCGTAATATACAGAATGTGTTTCAGTACCATTCCAGAATAAATAGGATATGCTTAAGGACCATTCTAGAATTTACAGGATATACCACAATACCTTTCCAGAATATACATTATATGCTTACCCTTCAATAATATAAGGATATGCTTAAGTACTATCCCAGAATATACATAACATGCTTGCCCTTCCAGAATATACAGGATATGCTTACACTTCCAGAATATACAGGATATGCTTTAGTTCTATTCAAGAATATGACTAATATGCTTATCCTTCCAGAATATACAGGATATGCTTTAGTTCTATAATTCAAGAATAAAAATAATATACTTATCCTTCCAGAATATACAAGCTATGCTTCAGTACTTATTCCAGAATAAACAGGATATGCTTCAGTACTCTTCCAGAATATACAAGATATACTTGCCCTTCCAGATTATACAGGGTATACTTATCCTTCCAGAATAAACTTGATATGCTTCAGTACTATTCCAAAATAAACAGAATATGCTTCAATACTTTTCCAGTATACACTGGATATGCTTAGCCTCCCAGAATATACAGGATAGTCTTAGCCTTCCAGAATATTACAGGATATGCTTAGCCTTCCGGAATATACAGAATATGCTTCAGTTCCAATCCAGAATATACAGAATATGTTTAGTACCATTCCAGAATACACAGAATACGCATACCATTCCAGAATCTACATAACATGTTTCAGTACCATCACAAAATATACAGCCGAATACGCTTACCTTCAGAATCTACAGAATATGCTTCAGTACCATTCCAGAATATGCACGATATGCTCCAGTTCTCTTCCAGGAAACGCACAATATGTTTCAGTACCATTCCAGATTATACAGAATACGCTTACCATTCCAGAATATACAGAATATGCTTCAGTACCATTCCAGAATATACAAGGTATGCTTCAATACCATTCAAGAATATACAGAATATGCTTCATTACCAATCCAGAATTTAAAGGATATGCTTAAGTACCTTTGGTCAGGCTTTATCTCACACAGGATACCCATAAACATAGTTAGTTTACGCTTAGAGAAAGGCAAAACATGCTGAAAGGAAAATAAATAATCATCAGAACAAAACAAAAAGGCAAACAGAAAAACGACGAAAAGACAAACACCAGTTTAACAAAAACTAAACGGAAAACTAAGATTTAGCAACACAAATCCAAAGAAAAGATGTGAATGGTTTACTTTTATAAATTTTGACTTGGATGGAGAGTTGTCTCGTTGGCACTCATACCACATCTTCTTATATCTATGAATGTAGGCACTCAGGGAGGGTAGGCAGATCTTGATCCACTAGTGGCAATAAGCAGGCGTGTATC